AACTCGTTTATGACGTGCTTGTTTACCGCAGATTTTCGAGTGCGGTCGACCGCATCTTCTTACAATCAGCGCCGCGAAGCTCTTTTTTCCCGTTAAAATGCAGAGGGGTTTGCATGCAAAGAGTACTTTCGTGCTGGTTTTACGAGGTGAAGTGGATCGCAGTCGGTAAGTCTGTGGTCAGCTAATAAGTCGTAAGCAAGTGGCAGTCATTTGCAAACCTTTTGGATCTAAATTTGCATTAGTTTGACGAATATTTTATTTTGCCTCATCCTGTACGAGTATATATACAGGTATATATATATTTTATTTTATTTTTTTTTCTCTCTCTCTCTCTCATGATTGATGTCACGTTTATTAAAAAGCCTCCTTGACCGAAACGAGAGCGAATCTGGCGATCAGTGAGCAGAAAATTCAAGGAAAATATAACCAACAGTGTAAGAGCAGAACCTGAAATGGACATCCTTTCATAACTATTGCTATGGATAATTACAAGGTTCCTGCAGCTCTTAGATCAAAATAACAGATGTATTTAATTTTTATTTAGTATAAACGTACGCGAATCAGCAAATTTCAACGCCAACCGGTAGACGGTAGTAAAAAAAAAGAATAAAAATCGCTGAAACTTCTCCAACGTTTCAGGTTATCAGCTTCCTCAAGCCTCCAAATCTACGATTGCCGTTATTGACTATCATTGCTACGATTTTGCTCCTGTAGGTCTCTGAGGAGTTTTCTTCAAACGATCACGCTTACATGATGAAACGGCAGGAAAAAATTGAAATAAACATCGACAAACCGGTACTTAAATTGAAATAATCTCATCTAAATATTTAAGAGGACTGACGCGAACAAATTCGAAAATGCAGATTTGTATGCCACAACTGCAGCGAACTGTGAAGTAAAACGGAGAAAGAGACGAGTGGGGAGTTAATGCGATGATGCCCGAAAGAAAGTGGAATGAAATTATGGAATGAGTGATTCTGATGCGAGATGGTTGAGACGGAACGGAAAGGATGACTCATTACGTCTCCCCGCAGGTCTTCCACTTGTGTCCGTCGGAATACAGCATGCCCGAGAGTTTCCTGTGTCCGAACGGGACGGTGTTCAACCAGCGCGTCCTCGTCTGCGACTGGTGGTACAACGTCGACTGCGAGGAATCTCCTACCTTCTACGCTGCGAACAGAGACATTTACGGGGAGTCTTCGCCGATTCGACGTCGGGGCGATGACGACGGCAACGACGAAGACGACGAGGACCTCTGGGCCGAACTCTCCGAACCGGCCGAGGAGATCGAAACCATCCAGAGATGAGGGAAGGCCGGGAATCAAGGGACGAGAGGCGACCGTCGTTTCCGAGGACATGCTCGCGTGTGCCAGGTGCTATAGGGATAAGTAATGAATTTAACGGGACGGGGGCAGCGGTGCGTGACGCGTCCCGGTCCCACGCGGGCCGCGGGTGAGGACGATTGCGGTCGGCGATGAGGACCGTTCACCGTCCCCGGGACACCTCTACTGCATCGTGCGAAAGAAAGTGCAAAGAAAAATGAAAGCCCTCCTATCATGAGCGACGATTAACAGGATGGGAATAAACGAAGACGTCTCTCATCGCGAAGAGAAGATTCTCGACCGTCGGGAGAAAGTGCCTGGGAGACTCTGCTGCATGTGCCGTCAAATCCAAGATTCTATCTTACTTTTACACGCAAACCCATACATCTTCGCGTGCGTCTTCATTTTTTTGCTCCCCTCTTCCTAGTCATGAGCGCAAAACCCTTTTCGTTCCCAGGGAATTTCTGGTTATCACCGTGACGAATCGGTTCGTGATTTTCGAAAATAACGTATTATAGTTATTATTATTATTATTTAAAATGTTTCGACGTTCTCCAGCTCTCTTTCTCTTTCTCTCTCGGTTTCTCGAAGAGGATAAGGAAAAGTTGTGACATGGAAGAATGCTCAGTAAATCGAGGAAAGAAGGTTGTGGTTGATTTGCATAAAAAGGAGAACTGATGTTTCCCCGTTTCTGCGGTGATTCTCGATGGGGACCCGAGAATGGAGGAGGAAGCCATTTTACAGTCATTACGGACTTTCACTACTCTTTCATGTTGGTCAACTATGCTGTATTCTCTTTTTTTTTTGGAGAGGGAAGACCTCTCCCTGCTGCGAAGACCGTTCACTTTCTTGCGCTTCGCATTTCAAGAACGGAGGATTTGAAAAAAGGAAAACTGGAAACGTGATTTGTCAGCCGAGCAGGCGTGGAATATTCTTGGGACATCCACGAAACCTGCTCGCATTCGCACGTCTTTCTCCCTCGTCCTACGGATTTAAAGCGCATTCTATGATTTCGGGACGAGTCGACTCATCCCTATGGTGTTTCGACCGTAGAGACACCTACCGAACAGTTCACGTCGTGTGTGAGATCGGAGGAAACGTTGGTTCCGCTCGTGTCGGTAGGCCCGCAAAAAACAATGGCTCGCATCATGAGGGTGAGTGAACTCGCTGCAAGATGTACATGTCCGGTACGAAATACGGAGAGCCCGTGCATGACATCCGGCGGACGCTATCTCCACGTACCGGAAGGCAACCGACCGATTTCCTCGCGTCTGCCCGGGACGTCGAAAGGATATTCGCCGACTCGGTCAGGGAACATTCGCTGCATGCACGCGTGTCACCCGTTCAGTTGCGTACCGCGCGGCACGGTAGAAATTCCAAGGGATTCTCCTCTCGTCTGGACGTTCCATCGCGTCCGATCGGGAGATGCGGCGCCGAGAAAGCGAGGCGACGGAAAGACTCCAATCGAACCCTCACGATTCGAAGGAGCCGTCTGGCTCACGACAACATGCCGACGTCGCTGAATCGTTGGCAGTGTCGATGTATCGTCGCATTCGGGTCGCAACATCGGAGCCTGACTAAAAAAATTTATCTCACGATCCTCATTTGAGTGCAGAATTTTCGTTCGTGCGTGAGCGTTGCATCCACTTAAATCCATCGAACGAAGCAAAGTTGCGGGGATGTCGGAAGGTCATGTCCATAATTTACGCCACTTCAACACCGGGGCAACTTTGACAGAAATGAAGCACCTATCTATCTATCCATTCAATTTTTATCGCGCATCGTTAAAACTTCTTGAGATGGCTAGTTCATGAACTTTTAAACTTGTACACACTACATCTGCCTGATAGGTATCGGAAGGTGAGAAATAGATGCGACGTAGGGCTACGATCAGAAGCCTGGTCTCATCACCTAATTAATTTTATTTATATAAATGTCGAGCACGCACGGTGCACTCCCTTGCCATGCCACTTCGGGATGCCATTTAGAATGTTTCCGTCACAGTGCGATTGCATTCCCAAGGTGTTCCGACGTGGCGGAGTTTAAGGTCTGCAATTTTCACGCACCATTTTACGCTAAACGGAGCCTTCAGAGGTCTATACAGTATTAGCCATCCAAACCGCGAAGGGTTGTCCCAAACGACCCGTTACGACTGCGAATCTTGGTGCAAAATGAAGGAAACTCTGGTAAAGATTTGGTTTTTTCAGACGCCTCTAATAATCGCAGCGCAGAGTGCCGCTAACCGCAAGATGCCAGCGTTGCACGTTGAGGTAGCCGTAAATGGGAACGTAAATGGTTTCATTGACGCTCCTCCAAGTGCAGCACGGGTGGCCGACGCTTAAAATTGCAGGAGGTCCAACAGCCGCAGACTGTCTTTCGCTTTTTGTACTCGGAATTAGTAAAGCCCCACTTGGGAGCATTGCGTTCAATTTTGGAGGCCTACAAGTAAAAAGGATTTAATGGTCCTGGAGAGGATTCAGAGGCGACGAGATGAAAGAGATGAGAGAGGTGCGAGGACCCCCTTACGAAAGGCGTTTAGACAAGTTGGAGCTGCATTCACATTCGAGGTTAACGAGGTGGGTCGCATCCATGCATTTATCATTTGGAGTATCGATAATGCGAAGCATGGTAGGTTTTTCCAACTCGAAGGTGACAACAAAACGAAGGGAGTTGAGGGGGAGGGGGGGGGGAGCTTAAGTTGTGCAAACCTGAAGGGCATTTCACACTTAGCCTGTCTTGCGTTCTTCGTGTGGATGCTCGGTCAGGTAGGCAGACGCTCTCATTTCCACTAAAAACTAAAGGGATTTAAAAAAACACACACACACAAGGCTTGCGCATGCAATAGTACTGATGCAATTGAATACGCGAAGTGTGAAACACCCTTTAAAGTAATGCGAGACTTACGTAGCAGGATAACTTGTCTCAACCCTTATCCGGGCAAGGTATTTTTGTGACACAAACGGGCAAGGCCAAACATTTTTAGAATTTTTTTCATTAAAAGCAAATCCAAACTTTAAAAGTTCGTTTCTGAATCTATGAATGACTGTCTATGAAACCCATATCAAATTTGAAGAATATTTTGAAAAATTTGCAGAGAGTAATGAAATGAAATATACCCTGGGGAGTCCAATGGACTCCCCTTGCCCGGATAAGGGTTAACTTGTTAGGTAGTGAATGTGCGAAGTGCGTATACACTAAAAGGACCGGAGCGGTCATTTTGACCGCTGCATAAAAAATAGTATAAAATTTGTATTCTGTAATATTTTATTTGCCTTTTCCAGATGTTATTTGCATGTTCAAAATATTAAAATGTTCAAAATGTTGAAGATTGGAAAAGTAAAAACAGCGGAGGCCCTTAGTTTTCAGACGAGCAGAGTAAAGTGCATTAAAAATTGGCAAGCAGTCAAAATGATTTCCTCTGTAATTCTAATGTTAAGCGATGTAGTCTGCCCCATCAACGAAAGATGTTATGCCTTCGGGATAAAAGCGAAAAAAGGGAGTGATAGGGCTGGGTAAATTAGTATAATCTCAAAGAACTCAGTCAGACAAGATGGGGGTCTGTACTGAGATTCTCTTGACTTGTAGGACTCAATGAGCACGACTCAAAGACAAAAGGTACGGCAGGCGGATGCCACGAAGAGGAAGCAACTGGAGCGAGTAAAAACTCACATAAACGGATTGCTAATGAAGGACACACTTCCTTGATTTATTTTTGGATCCATCAATACCTGAGAATAGCATAACTTAGGTACAAAATAAATATCAAAAGATGATGTATTGTCGTATGCTTGGCTTCTCACAATATTCTTTCCACTACACGAACAAAAGATATGATTAGAACATGATGTTGAATTTTCAAAGACATGGAGACTAGACTCTTGACATTTTGGACCACATCTTCTGCCAAGAAATATTGATAAAAGAGTAACTCGATGGAGAACACACTGTGAGAATCGAATGATAATATATGAAAGCAGCAAGCAAATAACAGGCCAAGTGGAATTGGGTTTGTCTAAAAAATGGCAAGATGATGCTCCAGAGATGAGGAAGCAAGTGAAGGAGGTACACAAAACGAATGAAGTTGGCAAGAAGCAAAGCCCATGCCGCTTTGGTCGCAATTCCAGAGGATAATGTCAATGGATGATACTGTTGAATAGTTGAAGGTGAAACTTGACAACAAGCTCCCCAGACTCGACCTCAAAGAGGAGGAGCCGTTTGATGACAGCTCCATGTGTTGCTCCACTCTCCTCCATCACGTCGCTCAGACGCATCTCCGTTCGACCGAGAAATTCTGCGCATACCTTACCAATTATTATCCCCCCTAATGTACAGATTATCCAAGAAACCTAAAGATCTTCGCATGAATTCAAGAAGAGATACTCAGAAACTCATGAAAAGTCAGTCATGAAGCCAGGTCAAGATTTGGTTTTGCTGTTTACCCTATATCAGAGGTCGGGAACCTTTTTGGCCATGTGAGCCATATTAGGATTCAGGTAGGTGCTTGTGAGCGAAAAAAATTCAAAACTGCAGAATTTTCCCTGAAGTTAGCGACAGATATGCGCATTCTTTGATGCATGAGAAAATTGGGGAACAACCATGATTTTTAGCCACGGCTCAATGAGCCAAATTTGGCTCATGAGCCATAGGTTCCTGACCCCTGCTTTACATGTTCATGCAGATGGTGAAAGAAGTAAAACTATTGCAAATTAGAGTACTCCTGACAGGGTGAATCTGTAAAGTTGACAAACAGAAATTCTTGTCATATAAAAGTGTTTTCTTGATTTGCAACTCCATGATTTTGGGGACACAGTTTCAGGGCAAGGAAACAGAAAAGCTCAAAGGAGCTGTTAGATCTTTTTCAGTGAAGGGATAGCTGATAACAAACCATTGGGAGCGAAATGTGCCTTGTGGTAAACAGTGAAGCAAAGGACATCCTCCTTGAGGTCCTTGACCTTGAACTGCATGGAGGCATTCCATTTTGGATGATTAGTACCTGGGACAACACGAGTTCGAGAAACCTGCGATCCAATGCTCACTTCACAGTATGCATCACATTTTCCTGTCAGAAGAATCACATCATCTATTATTAATGTTCAATTTTTTCTTCTATTTTAAATTTGACTAAATCTGAACAGGAAGCAATAAAGCATTTTGACTTGCACATGCGAAATTGAGTAAAATATCAAGCATGTGTCATGCAGATGACCTGAACTTCTAAGCAATGAAGCTGATACAAACATGCTCACACAGTGTTGTCTTCGCAGAGTCATGCTGTCTCAAATGGTCTCAGATAAGGAAAACGTCATAGAGAGTGAAGTCATGCTATGGATTTGAATGAAATTTTGCATGCAATATACCTTAACTGAGAAATGATCCTCTGCCCATTTGTTTTTCACTCTTGGGAGAACACTTGCACTCTTGGTATCTGAGATATGGTTCCACAGAGTTTCAACCATTGAAGGAGAACATGCTGTCCTTCCAGCATGAAATATTTGGTACCTACCCAGTCTGCACAACAACGTTGACTCAATGTTGATATGTTGATGCTGATGATTCAATGCATACTCAACATCACATCAACATGTCGGGCGAGACATTAGAACAAAGGTTTCCTGATCCTGATGAGATGGCGCCAAATTGCTAACACTGAGATTTACCTCATATATGCAACTGGCATGCGTCCCCAGTACCTTCGGAATGGTAGTTAATATTTTCTCCAAAGACAGCACCGGGGAAGGTACAGTCGAACTCGGCTATAACGAAACCTCGGTTATAACGACGAAAGCGCCAGGTCCCGGCGTAGAGCCCATAAGGCACGTTACATTTTACCTCGGTTATAACGAAGTCCATTGAAGGTCTCACAGACGAAATCGACAACGTTTATGTCCCTAATCGGTCATTCTTAACTGAAATTTCCGTCATCGGAAAAATTAGCGTTGGCGAGCCATAACTTTATATTTCCTAGATTCGGCATTCCTTGAGAGTCATGTGGGTGTGGCTGGAGCAATGTTAGGGAAGGATAATCCCCAGTAACTAAGATCACCTTCAGTCGCCCTTTGCATTTCTCGTTGACAACGTGGCCAATGGAAAAAGAAAGAGGCAAGCCTTCACGATTGAAAAGAAAGTGTGCTTGATTAGTTTAATAGAAAGAGCTCGAAGTGAAGCTAACGTCGCTCGCGAACATGGACGTCTGTTCATCTGTTTCCACAATTTGGGAAAATCGTGACAGCTTCATCCATGCTTACGAGAACATGTCACAAAACAAGAAACTTCCTAGGTCTGTCGAGATGACATCGACGAAGCCTTGCTAAAGTATAAAGTAATTCAGGGTCCAAAGAAGTGCGAACATCACGATTAGTGGGTCAATCTTGAAACTGAAGCTAGTGTAGTATGACCAATGTAAACTGGAGTTGCAACGTTATATAGCATCAATTTCGAAAACAGGAAAACGGAGTGCCAATAAAGGCAACCTCGGTTATAACGACGGTTTCTACCTGGTCCCTTCGATGACGTTATAACCGAGTTCGACTGTATTTGAATTCCTAGATACATCTGATGAAAGAGGCAGCACAACCCAATGAGATCCTTGGTAATGCTGGTCCGGGGAACAGAGAGAACAAAGTTCACGTGATGATATGACTCCATCAGACCTCCATCATTACACAACGAAAATATACTTACATCTGCCCCTTAGATCGTGAGGAATAATGCATGGAGTGATTGACAGTTGTCTCGTCTTTGGCTGGAATCACTCTGCACCTCCATTAATCACTGAGAACCCGCACATCCTGTCCTGCCCTCGGCATAGTGTCCATGTCAAGATGGAAAAAGGGGTTGATATCTTGCTGATGATCATGGAATACCCCCATATTCATCTACATGCGGCATTAGATCGACCCATGTGCAGTGCATGTTGAGAAATTGTTGAGACTTGTCTCATTTCAACGTTGGGTCAATGTTGATTAAATGTTTGATCAATTTTCTTAAACATTGACTCAACATTGATGTGCCAACTGGGTAAGAACTATCTGAAATATTCCAACATTCTTGGGTTAATATGAAAGCTATTTCATGTTATGCTATTAATGTCACCCCCCTTTCAAAAACAAGATGTCATCAGAGGGATGTCAATTACCTCTAATCTTGCATTTCTATAAAACTTCCATCATTCAAATTTCTCTAAAATTGCCTGCACTATTGTTTAACCAAGTTAGAAAAGCTTAGGATGATGTTCTGCGTAGTTTCTGAATAAAAGGGTTTCATGAATGCCACAAATCTGTACAAAGATTATGCCCAGATACGTGTCTAATGGTCACAGAGTGCTGGGTAATATATAAGAGGGGGGGTGCAAAAGTTGTGGCAATTTTGGATTAACAATTTATAATAATTTTGAACCAAGTGAAAAATTGACATGTGTGGTAGTGAGTGGTTTGGCCACATAGTCTAAAACCCTTTCTACTATGGTATGAGCCATTGTACCTGTCTCTGTATCATAATACAAGTGTACAACACTGTAGAGCAGAATTGTCACTACTTTTGCACTCCCCTCATATAATGCAACAAAATTATCATTCAAAATACAACTATAGTAATATTGGTTTTGCAAGTTATTGGTTATTATAGGCACTTATGACATGAACTTGTGACAACAGTCCATCAGGACTATCACCAATTCATTTCAATTTACTTCCTAAAGATAAAGATTTTACTTGAAAAAATAGACCTGTTTTGTCATGTCAACTCAACCACATCTTTCATCTTCATGCTTGACCATTTCTGGTTTTCTTGAAAGTTGCCAGGAAGAAAGATCTTATAGCTCCAAGCATGGATATTAGATTTCATTGAAATTAGATGAGAATGAAAGAAGCAGTTGCTTGTATTGGCACCAATGTGCACCTCCTGGGATGCTACTCTTTAACACATGCAACAAGTTTGCTCTTAGTTGAGCTAGGGAAGTGTTCAACATGTAATGTTTCAGCTCTTTTTTTCTGGAAAATAAGGTCACTCAATTTTTTTGCAGATACTGAATTGCTCACAAATTGGCATATGTAGATGATGGAATATGTCTTTTGTTACTTCAAGAGCATCTTGATTATCCATGATGACAAGAGAGAAGCTAGAAGGGGTGCCTCGAGTGTTCCTTGAAACTTGCAACAAAAACCTATAAGTTTTTGTGTCTAACTTGTAGAGCCTGGTTCCATGTGACCTCATACACATGTGACTGAAGTTTCACCAGAAGGTTTACAATTTTGATGACATCAGGGAGATGCAAGAAGCCACGATGGCACTGCTGAAGGTGTTTGTAGAAAATAGCTTGCAGCTTTTGTTTTGCATAGATGTATGAGAGCAGGAAATAGTGTGTGACTTCACTAGAGGACTATTTTGAAGGAGAAAATATGGTGGTGTGATTTCTTTCAATTAATTGGTTTGAAAATTTTAGTCCAGGAACTTTTTGACAGGATCTCATATGTCCGTATAGTGCCAGAACATTTTGGTGATATCATGTTCATAAAACCAATCAAGTATTTGTTACATATACCTTTCTATAGGCTAAATACCATATAAATCGAAAAAATTCCATTTTTGAAAATGGAATTTTTTAGATTTATAACTCACTCTAGCAGTTATCATATTGGGGAAAATACTCAAATCCCAAAAGTGTTATAGGGATGTGCATGGGATTCACTGACATCTTGAGCTTTAATGTTACCAGGTATCATAATCATTCATAATCACAGGTGACAGCTGTGTTTAAGTGAACTATTGCATATTTTTAAGAAAATGACTATTTTTTATTCAAGGGAGGCATGGCTAAAAATGATCAACTTCAGAGGCACCATTACAAATTAACCTATTCCTTATTGCTGGCTGCATTCTAAAATGTGATCCTGCGGAATTCATTAGGTCTATACCAATTACTGGCTTTATGAAGATCAACAGTGACCATTCTTGTATGCTGCATATGTACTTACTCAGTACCTGGTTTTTCATTTCCATCAACATCTTGAAATGTTCAGAGAAAATGGAGATGATAAAACAGACAAGCAAGCAAAAGTAGAAAAAAGGAATATAGAAGGAATACAACCAAACCTTTGTTAGAGGAGGAAATGAGATCAATTGCCTCAAGTACGATGACCCTGAGGTTTCCCCGAACTGGGCGCTGCCTCACTGTTTTTGTCAAACCCCAATCACAAAGTCACATATACATGCACATGCAAATTTTTCTTCAGCAGATCTTTCCCTAAAAAAAAATTCCTCCCACTTCCTTAGATGAGCTTCATTTCTCCCAAAGGCTTGAAAAGATTCAACTAACAGTGAGGTTCAACTAACAGTATGCCATGAAGAAAAGAGAATATGCATGCATGCATAGGTACATATTTTGGCATGCAGCATGCTAAGTTGCATTTTGAAATCTCACCGACTCGGACAAGCTTGTAAGCCTCTTGGACTGTGACGAGGACTCTGCCCTTGGGAGCTACTTCTGCTTAGCAAACACCATATCAAACTCATTCACCTCAATTTGAGTAAAATGTAGGAGAGAAGGGCAAAATGAACACTAAAAGTATCAAACTTGACTGACATTGAATCATATCAATTGTAGAATACCAGTATACTTATTAAGATCTGGATCTGGAAACAAATAATGATGGTAAAAATGATGACAGACAATTAAGACAAATCATTCTCAACAGTATAGTTGCTAAATGATTTCAGAGCAAATATATGATCACAGAACTAGGTTTATGGAGTCTTGCGGATTGAAAAATGAATAATAGAATGGTTTCAGGAGAAGTATGTCAAACTTCATTAACTTAGTTAAATTATGCTGGGAGGTATTGATACAGATGATAACTTTCTAGTGACTCCACAAAATTATTCAAAATAAAAACTTAACAGGTTAATATAAAGACTAAAACTGCAGTAAAACCTTAGAAAAAGAACTAAATGACTCATCTACTGAACAACCTTAATTGGAACATAATTGACTGTCATTAATTCAATAATGTATTCAAGTGATTAAAGGAGGGGAAAGAGAAAGAGTGGAACCTGACCAGAGGCTTTGCGCTGAAGAAGGGATTTCTCAGTCTGGGCATAGGAATTGATAGCATCTTGAAATCTTCGCATCCATAAGTTCTTTTCTGTTGGTGATGGAGCACGCAATGAAATTACATGATCTAGACCTTTCACCACAAAATGTGTCTCCTCTGGGTAATCCTCTGCTTTGCTCAGCAACAACTCATTCAACATGATTGGCTGGAAAAAGAAAACAATTTGGTTGGTTTGATTTATTAGTGGTATTTAATTTAGAATTTGAATGAAATGATATCCATATTCTGCCTTATCCATTTTCTTTAGTGAGTAAAGATAAGCCTGCTAATGATAGCACCATAAACCTACATTTTCTGACTTACAATGCTTTTCAACTGACATTCACAGTTCCTTGAATGTCTTCCCTTTGCAATAAATTATTTAGAGTTCATAACTTCCTCTTTTAAATGTTTTCATACACGGAGAGGCACATGAAAAAAAAAAGCAATCTCATATACATGGTGTCCATAAAAGATTCATACAACTTTAATCTTTAATAAATTATGAACAAATGAATGCACATATATGTGGTTTGCAGCAAATGAAACCTTGATATTTCAAGTTTTATGACACACATTTCAAATTTTAAAATAAAATTAGAGCAAATTCACAAGAGAAGGCAAATGCATGTTGTAGTTTGCTGAGTTGAAGCCAGTCACACAGGTGTAGTGCTAGTCCAGAACTTTTTACAGCAAGGATCCTCTTGTCTGTGTTTCAACATACCGATAGATGAAGCAATATAAGGGCACAGGAAGTTTGCTGAAAGAGAAGAACTAGGGTGGCATCTGCAATTCTCTATTGGCATGGTACACAGACCATCTTGAACTCCTCTCAAAGGCTTCCTATACACGTTCAACATCGGCATCCAATGTTGAATGTGCATGGGAACAGGAAAGTGTAGGGCCTACAATAGCTCTTATCTCATGAACAAGTGGATTCTTGCTGTAACTGTTCTGAACCTTTTGCACCTGTGTGACTGACTTCAACTCTATAAATCACAACATACATTCACCTTCTTTTGTGGAGTCACAATTTCCCTTCTGAGAAGCTGAAAAATAGTTTTAAGGACTTATTTTTAAAATTTAAATGCATGTAATAAAACTTGAAATATCAAGTTTTTGTTTGCTGCAAACCACATACATGTACATTTGTTCATGATTTATTAAAGATTAAAGTCATATGAATCTTTTATGGATTTATTATTTTTGGATTTATTATTTATTATTATATTTATTATTATTGTATTTTGTTTTAATCTGAAAATTCTCAAGACATGATTCTCTTTAAAAAAATATCAGAGAGAAAAAAATACAAACCAGAACAACAATTGACCTAACCTTGATGGTCATCTTAGAGGTTGCTCCACAGTATACCATGAGCATTTAGAAGCATGAAAATGGCTTTTTTGGTGGTAAGCTTTGTTCCCACATTAAAAGATCCAGATCAAAATACACCAATGATAAATGATATCCAAGTGCAAGGCCTCAAGCTTCAGGGTTTTTGGAGAAAGAGACTTCTGAGCATGGAAAGCTTCTAATTTTAGATGTAAAGCACATCAGTTGTGAAGGATTAGCTTGATTAAGGAATCACTGTGGAATAACTGCGTGGACCAAATTAACATTTATCTCAGCTATCCTGGATTACAAAGGATTGATTTGTAGGAGAAATAGCTTAGAGAATTACATGAGGTTAGATAGGGATTCTTGCAATAGACAACTATGGGCTTAGGGGACACTTCTGACTCAATTTTTTATCTTCTATGTATCTTGAGCAAAAAAAGACACCCTGCAAACAGCATGAAATTTAAATTTACTTTTTGCTCACTCTATGTACTCCCAATGAAGAACCATAGGCCCTGAACATTGTTTACTAATCACTCTGCTTATACAGTGGGATATCTAATGGAGCCAATGCCATAAGAAGCATACAATATAACTATCAACACCAATCAAATTTAAATCACAACAGGTGGAGAACTTCACTCTGCATGATGCCTATCAACTGAAAACTGCAGTCAAACTTCTTTGCAGTAAAATCTTCTTGGAAAGGAAAATTTTCAATAAAATTTTCCCTTGAAACAGTCAGATTCCCTGGCCTGATATTATGTGTAAACAAAAGAAAAAGCTGCAACTTTGCTGTGTCTAATTTTGCATTTTAGAAAATTTAACCACTATAATGGTTGCACATATTGCTATGCATGTTGTACTGTACATGTATCTCCAATATTCTACAAAGAAGGACTTTATTTGGGTTTGTGAGTAAATAAAAACCTCCATGTAATACATTTTTGTTCTGGTCACTTGGACTTTACTACAATAAGGTATGACTGCATATACAGGGAATGGCAAAGAAAATTGACTAACAGCTTTTGATATGAATATCTCTGCTCAAACTGAATCTATTTCATGAAATTTGAAATGGAAAGTTCCTTAAATACCCTAGGAAATTATGAATGAACTTTGAGAAAACTCTCTGGATTGATGTTCATCTATTCATCTATAATTCAGTGGTAATAAGCTCTTGAAAAGACATAACCCATCTGCAAGATACAACCAACCCTATGAATGAATTTACATGGAGAGGAGGTTGATATGGCCTTGATGACCAGGAAGGACAGCACTTAAGTGTTTCCTCCACTCCACTACCAGCAGGAGCTCTTGCCCATTTTCAATGTTTCGCTTCTTTTCAATCATTGCTCATAGTATTGCTTTGGCACTATAAATTTAGGTGAAATTTCACGTATTAGTTAGAAACATACTCATATATGCAAAATGAAAGTTTCACAAAAATTGCTCAGCTGTGAGCAGAGATATTTAGGTTGAAAGTTATTGGTCATTTTTTTGCATGTCCTTATTTTGAAAAGAATGGAAAGTCCATAGTAGAAAAAAAAGACACTGAGCAAGAATGCTGGACTGGATAGACAAAGCAAGTCATGGGTCTGTCTGACAAGTGCACAGGATTTCAACTCTCAGAACATCTAAATAATAAGAGAACAGTAAATTATCTCCTACCTCTCTGTAGAGTCTGAAGAAAATTGGAGGATTTCTTTCAATGACAAATGATTTCTTGGGCAAAGGAGAATTAGGGGCAACCAGGAGTAGGAAATCATTGCACAGGAACCCCATCAGCTCCTTCCCACTCTTACTCTGTCAAGTCCCAACAGAACCATCCCAATGACAACAGGTACATGACAGACACTGACAAAAATAACAGAGACCTAAGAGACCTTATAGAGAGGTCCATAGTGAAGAAACTTGCGAGGACCAAGAGCATTGGTCAGCGAGTTGAATGTGAGTCGATCTGAGAGAGATTCACAGTTTATGTGGCCCTGCATCCATTCTAGCCGATCTGAATTCTCTGTCTCTCGCACCCCTTCATTCACCTGCCATTTGGCATTGGAATTCAATCATTCCAGGTTAGCATAGACAAACAGAGGCAGAGTAAGCATTCTTCAAGTCAATGCATTACTACAGGGAAAGGCATGCCAAATACATGACTTGGATTAGTAATAGTATGGTACTTACATATAGGGTGACTAAATAAAGCAAGCCCCTGCCATTATGACTTAATAAATTCTATTGAGCAGAGACACTTTAATGATGCAAAAGACAAAACTATCAGCCCCCAGATGTGAATATGCAGTTCCCAGAGTCCAGACCCAAATTCTGTGGATTATTATACAATTGGATGACTACTTGAGAAATATGGTTGAGCTAGGGCAAGGAGCTACAAAGTATCTGTTTTATGGTTAATTATTTTATGGTGCTTCTTAGCAAAATAAAAGCTCCACCACTCAATTGTACTTATTGTTTATGGAATGAAGTCACAACAGGAGAGGATTATAATTTTTTTTGGGTCATGCTTTGCATAGAATTGAGAATATAATCAAGTGACTGAAGTGATGAAGCTACATCATGAACTCAAATGATGCATGGCTATCAATGCAAGACCAGCATAAATAATTTCACCATTTTAACAGACTACATAGAAGAGCATTGCAAAATGCTCTGAACTTCTAATTTTTCCAATCATTAATTTAATTTTCAAAGCCACTCATCTCAACTTAATGGGATTGTACTAAAGTAGACCCAGGAGCATCTTACAGTGTTACCAATACTGGGCGATGGGGAGGTGAATGCTCTTAAAAACCTCCTCGGAAAAATAAGATTTGGTAGCCGTGGTATGCCAGATTTCCAGCAAAACTGTTGAAGCCCTGAAGATGCAGCTGTCAATCTTATCTCCATATCACCAGAATAATAAGATAAACAGGACCTCTGCAGTCATTGTGCAGCCAGAGTGACAATTTACTTGGCTACTGGTGTCAGGCAATCTGATGTTTCTGGGTGCATCAGACCCTGTTGTACAACATCTAGATTAATTGGTCAGCTTGCTACTAGCCATGGCATATTTTTGACAGGATGCAGCAGGCAGAACAGAATCAAGGGTTAAATGACTGACAATTTCCAAATTCACAGCCACTCAAATATTTTATTCCTGGCTCTGTATGAAATGGAATAGAGCCCTGGAAATATGCTCTTCTTCATTCATGAAACATGTTCACTGTCAAAATGTGAGATGAAAAGAATTGTCAAAGACCTGACTGCAGAGTTCCTCAGCTTTGGAGAGTGCCTCTTCCATGTTCCCTCGATCAGCATGCTCCAATGGAGTATGATTGAGGATCTGGAATGAACATTAAAAACTGGTAAATTGTAGTCAGGAAAACCAAACTTTCAAATGAGTCATCTTCAGATCAGGCAAACCTCCTTGAAAGTAAGAGGATATCGAGTGATGCGCTGCATTGGCTTCAGGAGGAATGAACTGAGCGGCATGCCTGAATGGGAGGAATGACACAAATGTTCTGAATTGGAAAGACAATTGAGAGAATATCATAACAAGGAGTGTTCATTACTCACCCTTGGCACGTGGATCTGACTGGCATTGTTTTACAGTTTCCTGGAAGAGGGGCACAGATTCTGTCTTCTTTTGGATGAGGGCAGCTGCCTTCAGTTGGCAGCTGCAGAATCGAATGTATGGAGTTAGGCAGGGAATCTGCAAGGGAGGTAGAGGAATCATAGCTTTTTCTTCTTTATTTTGAGTTAGTTTTCAAACATCTAATGCAGCCCCAAAAGATGACATAAAAAAGTTCAATCTCCCATGATGGCAGTGAATCATACATGAATTTCATTTGTATCACTCTTTTATACAAACTACAGGAAACAAAATAACTGGGTAAGAAGCCCAAGGGTGATTGCTCATTGCTGTGAAACAAAATGAAGCTAATGAAAAGATAAGCTGTAACTGTCATTTCATATGGAATGTTGACAAATTAGGAACATAAATCATTGATCTGACCTTCCCTATAGTAGTGGTATTCAAAGTGCAGCCCACTTCATGGTTTTATGTGGACCACTAAGATTAACTAATAATCAACATTTTCACATTCAACCGTTTCATCAACACTCATGAATAATTGTAATGAACACTTTTAATTTCAAGATTTGGAATCCTTGGCTGAAAACTTGCAAAATCAGTCATTGTTTAGATATTTAAATACATAAATACATGTTTACATTTAGATGCTTATGTATTTAGGTGTGCACCTATTGAACATGCCTAAAATGTGGAGCATCCATATACTGCAGAAAAAAATGTCTTTCTTCACAAGTAAATGAAGTTAAGGAGAAAAAAAGGAGTATTTCTCAAAAATACAACTTGTAATAAAGCAGCAACTAGAATCGATGTGCTTACATGAGCCATGACTCCAAGTAGCGGCAGTTTCTGTGACTACGAAAGGTGGAAGTGTGTGTGGATGCGGTAGGAATAGGCAGTTTTCAATTGCCACTCATTTGTTAAATGGGACTTCCTGGTTTAGAGTAGCTTGACCAAGAGATCGATGGTCAGATAAAGGGTTAACCATGCAGAAATGTAATATCTTTTTCAATGCAGCCCACCCCAGTTTGACTAACATTCTAAGTGTGGCCCACTCAAAGTGGACCAAAGTGACCAGCAATAGCTTCAACCAGAAGTCTTTAATACCTGAATAATTCACTCCGTACATCATTGGAGTTAGAATGAGATTTCAGCAACATAGTTGAGATTGAAAATGTGAAATTTAGGCAGTTTTCACCCCAGAAACATCCTTATGTGGTGAGGGAAAGGACACATTTCTCATTAGTTTATTGTACTCCTCTCTGAGGTGCATCGATAAAGCAAGTTACTTTTTTAAATATTTGTTGGTTGCACAGAAAATTTCACCACAAAATTTGAATTTTTAAAAATTTTTGGTCATATCCAGTCAGGAATTTTCAATGTGATGGAGCACCTATGATATCAAGAATGGTGCCATTAGAAAGGGGAGCATGAGATCTTTCCAACAATATATGATTTTCTACAATGTTGTAGAGCATAGAATCCAAGAAACCTCTATAACTCGAATTTTCATTAATTTGAATTTCCCTTGAACTTTGAGTTATCAAGGGTTCCCTGTACTAGGGCCAGTCAAATGAAAACAGCAATTAATTTCCATTCAGCTGTGCATGCAGAATATATTGGGAACACTCTCCAATGGTATAGAGAGATTTGTCCCACTGCACAATATGATTTTTCAAGGCAGTATTGTCAAACAATATTGGCATTTGGTAGCACCATTTTCTCACTGCCTATACCATATCATTGTCCAAGTGGTACCATCCACTCAATGCCTCCCCATTAGGTGCCATCATCAAAATTATGGAATCATGTTTCATCATGTGCTACAATTCTAGCCAAAAAGCTGCCTCCTTCAGCATGGCAGCACTGCAGATGCATGAAACAAAGACCCACCCATGAGGATATTCTTTTGGTCTTCAGTTCAGACACTTTGATATCCATTTGGCATACACCAAATGGAAGTGGAGGCAAACTTGGGCAATTTTATGCACAGAATCAAGGATCCCCATTTCTGTGGCTATGGCATTAAGAAACACGTGTCTGTTTCCTCTAATTACCTCATCCACCTATGCAATATTGTAATTTGTGATGACAGCATCAGCTTGTCTGGATCTGGGTTTGTCCCCAACATAAAGGCATCAGCCATGAAACATTTTACACCATTCATATACTCATCTGTGGAGGAAAACATATCTCACTATAAATGGCAACCATTCTGTAAAGGAGCTTTGCATCTTATGCATAAAAAAAACTATATTACAGCTCTCTGATGTCCCTTGGATACCCCTTCAATGATGGTACTCTTTTCCATGTTACAGTGCATGTATCTCCTGCAAGCAGTTGTGTCAATTACATTTTCAGTGCTGCACCAGAGTAGCTGAAATTTAAATAAAATGTCATGAAGATACATCATTTGCATGACTTTTGGTGCCAGTTATGCTGCTTTCAGTTGATTAGCCCTTGTACATAACATCCAGTTTCATGCATTTTCCCCATTGTTTTGACAGATCCTTAATTCCCTGACTCATCAATACTCCATACTCACTGTGCATCACATCTTTAATACCTTGACTGGTCTCCACTGACTCAAATCATCATCCTTGAAGGTCTTTTTTTAGCTCTGAAAATACAAACTCCAAGGGGAGGAGGGAGCATAGGGATAAACAGATCTCCCAGTCCCAGAAAAATATTATCTCCACAACACTCTAACATTTATGTGCAGCTGGAAATTCATTTCCTCCCAGCTACTCTCACACTCTGAATTACCAACTTATCAAAAAAAGTTATCTGCAGTATGGATGAGGTATCAATGAGGTAAGAACTCTTAGCTGCACCAAAATAGTGAGGGAAATGTGATGTTGGAAAGTGCATATTGTAGCACTCCTCAATATCATATTTCCAACACATACAATGTCATTAATGTAAAACTATTTTGCATTTATTGAATGTGCTTTCTGATGAACCTTGTAGAGTGACATCACTAATGATCAGCAGTGAAATCTATGATTTCATCAGGAATCCCCATGCATCAACAGACAGTAGAAAATCCCAGAATAAAAATCTGAATGCATAAGTAATGGGATCACAACAGTACAGGAATTATGCAAGAAACAAAATGAAAAAAGTTAACAGGAGAAGGAAGATATAAGATAGAAGTCACTCTGAAGAAAGAGCAGGATAGAGAGAACAAAAACCAGACTTCTCTCTCAAAAATTTGCAGTTTAATATTTGTCACAGAACATTTTCAGTAAAACAAGGCTAATAAAAATATGTACAGTACCACCAGAAAGTTTGAGGCAGGTGGGAAAATTTCGCAAATCATAAGAAATATGAAAAAAATCAAGCTTTTTTTTCTGAAAAATATAATTTTACTTAGTTTACGTTAAGAAAATACATATTTGTGCAAGAAAGCAAATATTTTTAATTTTCAATTCAAATTTTACTTAAATTGAAATAACCACCACAATTTTTATAACGCCAGCACAGATTCTGGGCATTCTTTTGATCAATTTTTCTAGTGTAGCAGATGGAAGGCTGTTCCAGCATAGTTGCAGAATGTTCCAGAGATTTTCGGTGGATGATGTTTGTCTTTGTCGCTCTTTGCGATCAGTTCTTCCCACTACAATTAAATTGGATTCAGATCGTGCGATTTTGGTAGCCAGTGCATTATTTTTTAATAATTTTCCGGCGCTTCAATTCGTTCAAATAGCTCTCATAGATCTTGTTACTGTGTTTGGGATCGTTGTCATGCAAGGTCACGTCTTGGCCTCTGAACAGCTTCGTGCCAGAGGCAAATAATTGCCATTTCAAAAGTCCCTGAATGCTTCTTTGGTCATGATTCCCTTGACGCAATGAAGACTTCCTACTTGATCACCACCAAGGCAACCCCACACGATTACTGAACCAACTCCATGCTTGACGGTGGGCACCAAGCACTGTTCTGCAAATCTTTCAAAAGCAAATCTTTCACAATCTGTGTGCAAAATCTCGACGTTTGCAGCTAACGATTTTGAATTTGGACTCATCAGTCCAGACCACTCGTTTCCACATTATGACTGTGAAATCCTTATGCTGGATAGCTCAATCCAGTCTTTTCTTCTTACTAGCTGGATGCAGCAGTGGTTTTTATGCAGCCACATGCCCATGTAGCCTGAACTCCTTTAAACGGTTTTTCACTGTTGAAGTACTGATGAGAACACCATTGAATTGATTGTATAAGGACGTGATTTTACCAGCCGTCAGTCTTCTACCAAATAAATAAATGTTTCTAATTTCAATATCTTGCCGTTTTGTTTTTTTTTTGACCTGCTGGTTCGTTTTTGGCTCTCATGAGTAGAAAATCTCTCGAAGCACCTCAAAGTTCTTTGTCTGCAGCAACGAGAAACATAACTTCATATTTGCTGCAATCTGAACTTTCAAGTATCCTCCCTCTGAATAAAGATTCTTTCTCTTTCTGTAACAGTTAGATTTAATATTTAACCCATTTTCAAGACTTAAAAAAAAATTGAAAATTGAATCTGTCTCCGAATACACTTTGCGAGATAACTGTTCCAGATAGTAAAAAATATAGTAATTATCACAAAATTAATTAAATATAATATTTACTAGATTAAACCTTTTCAAAATGTAAAAACTTTTAACGTTAATTCACTTTAAAGTGAAGCTAGAAATAGAACGTGAAGCGTGTCCCTGCGTGAAATCGCGAATAATTTGAAAATAAATTGAATAACAAAGAAAAGAAAAATTTCGGGAAATAAAAGCTACAATAAATCATTTACATTCCGTTTGAAAAAAGAGCGTTACATTTTTAAAGTATTTTTCTTGAAGAAGGATCATTTTTGCAACCTGCCTCAAACTTTCTGGCGGTACTGTATGTATACTCTCTAGCATGTATGCTAGAGAGTTTTAATTTATATGCTTGCAAAGTACAAATTTGCCTACATTGTTCTATGCATCATAAGTCCTTACTGCTGATAAAGGCAATATTTATGTATCAAGAGTCACTATCAAAGAAATGCTATAGTCATCATACAACACAGCGGTGGATACAGAGTAGTAACTCACATTTTCACATAGGACATCTCCAATCATATGAATAATCCCATGTTCACTCATCTTTTTCCTCACCCGCAATGCACTGATGATACAAAAACAATACCTGGATTAATTTTTAAAATGCATGGTAAGCCTATATCTTGGTACATGCTATAATTGTCACATTTTCTGATTAATAAAAAATTCTCATGTCTAACCGGAGCAAATTGTTGTTGCAGACATAAAGATCCTCCCAGTTGACAAAGATCATGTTGGACTCCTCCTGTGTAAGTGCTCCAGTGGATACCAGTGGCTTTGCAAACACCTTTGGGGGATCCAGGGAAATCTCAATCTTGGACAAATGCATAAATGTCCAAAAAATATCTATAAATATTTACCTCAAGGACAAATGAAATGTCATTGACGTATGCCTGTTCTGTGGATATGAGCTCTTGGATGGCAGCTTGGCGTTTCTTCTCCACAGGAGACAGGGAATTCAGGGTACGGGTCAGTGTGTCAGTCACTAAAGTATCACATTCACAAAATAAGAAATTTTAATAAATTCATTCATTCTCAAGTCTGGATTTATATGACATGCTGAAAACTCTATGCTGGTACCTATTTTCCAGATCCAAATGGAAATGGTATTGTGAGATTATGTAAAATACAACTTGGAAATATCACCACTCAGGATTTAAGTTTGAAAGGAATGAGACTAAGGAAATTCAATGGGAATAGCTTTATTGCAGGGAACATCAAAGTTAGCATGATGCAAATAAGAATTCCATCTACTGCATGGAAATACATAAGAGCAAACTAATAGAATAGCTGCATGTTGGTACAGTGCAAAAAAATGGGTTTGTAAGCATATTTGTAGGAAAATCCACAAACTTAAATCAATCTAGGGATGACACTTTCAGGAAATCTGAGATTCCAGCAGGAAATTTAACAGTTGCTCTTTCAAAACACATTCATCCAAATTTTTTTTATTTCCAGACACCTGAAATTTCTATCTTGATCATGCTTTGCAGCAAACTATTTCATAATTGACTGATCACACAATAATACACTGAATGTCAGGCACTGAAGTCCCAGTAGGTATACAAGGTTAATGGGAAAAGTTCTGATGACTGTCATGAAATGAAGAGAACAAGGTCTAAGAGACAAGTTCATGTTTCTTTTCCATATGACTATGAGAACTTGTTTTATAGGTTCACTTTGACCTTGAACGGACAGGCAAATTTGTTTTCACTTACGGATGGCTTGGGATTAAGAAGGTTATAATAAGGTTATTCTGAGGCATACCTCATGAATCCCATGAGGAAGGACACATAGTTAACCATGTTTAGTCAAGGAACAAGCTTTGTAATCCATTAACAGAACCATGACCATGAAATCTACCATAGCTTCCTTGGTTTTTTTTGTTTAGGATAAATTCTGGTACATTCAGGGTGTTACACATGTCTAGAGAATGGATACTCACTCTTCACTTTAAAATTGATAAATCTGCCCTGGTTTGCTTTTTACAGCCATCCTCTCACATTCTTATTTAGGCCTAGAAGGTATTAAACCTGATATTTGAGCTTACTCAAGAAAAGAGATGGGAAACAACCCTAAGAGCTATTCAAAATGGTGAAGCTGAGTGGCCCACTGGAACACCTAGTTTAGTTGTCTGTGATCTATCTATGGGGTGCTTTGATGGAACAGGTTTATGCAAGACCATTAACTATCCCCACACTTATGATAAATCATTGAGGAAGAGCAGGGCAATCTTTTGGAGATGGTTTTAGAAAAATGATAAAAGTTTATTCAGGGATGTGCCACATGAACCAATAATACAAGCCTGCAGGTAGCATACCTCCTCTAACTGGACAATGAGTAATACTCAGAAATCATTCTGTATTCTTCTATGTCTTTACCTTATGGCAGGGCCACTGGGTCTGCTTCTGAGGTCATGTTTACCTCCCCATGGCTCCATAAATCATTTTGACATAGAAGAAAAATCAAAGTTCTTCTATCTGAGAAGAGTGTAAAATCCATTTTCATGTCAACCATACCAAGAAACATAAAAGTTTCTGGACAAGGATGATCAACTGGAAGTGATTAATTCCTCAATCCCAGAATTTTTCGATGCAATGAAAGTTGAATTCTACTTTCTAGCAAGTGGGAACAAAACAAAGAGCCCAGCTGCAAACATATGCAAACCTTGTCATATGTCAATCATTCATCATATTGAAGAAATCTGAACATTCCCACATTAATTTTGTCATAAAGTCCTTATTCCCTTTCTTATCCTCCATGACAGACATATCAATAGATTTCTGACAATATTCAATGAGTCATTCAATCTTACATGCTAATTCAAACACTGCCAAGGGCTGGTATACATTCATCATTCACACTTGGGGGTTAAAAGAGGCCAGTGACTAACAAAGCCTTCTCTTGGACACTACAGTATTTACCAGTAAGCACAGGTGAATAAATGCAAAAATAAGTTGTCAACGACTATGAAGAATTCTTGATGAAATCCCTATCAGGTGATATTTTAAGTACTGCAAATATATACTTCAAGGTGAAAGAGGTTGTGGGTGAATATATCAAAGAAAAAGCACAATTGTTTCAATGTATCACACTAGACAGGAGATTCCTACACCCAAGATCCAGATCTCAATGACATATAAATCACAACTATACCAATCAAAATTGTATAATAGAGAAGTTTCTCTGAGATTGAATAAATATAACCAATACATATTACATTGTAGAAGTACTGGCTCTTGATTAAATCATCCATATGCAATTTTTCCACATGCCCATTTCTTTATATGGTAGCCCTAACCTCTTGAATTCTGTTGGTATTCAGAAACATCCAAGTTCATGAGTAACTTCTTTCAACAGATCTATTTCGCTCAACTAGTAGTTTTCTCTTTCCAGATCTTCATTGAGTACATATTGGTACCTGACATACTTACATGAAGGCTTCTTTAATTATTCATATTTTAGACATCCTGGAATGACTCTGAGTTCTGAAGATGCTAACAAATTTACTACACGCAAAGAATTTCTGATAAATTCTGCATCTGAATAACAGTAACATGACTTGGCTCAATGGGACAATAAGGTCCACCAGGTTGCAAATTCTGACTGGCTAGTAAATTCCTCCTAACTGGAAGGTGAAAAAGCAGCACCTTAGGGAATCCTCAAAATAACACAATTTTATCAGGCTCAACAGTAGATACTGACAACAAATAAAGCTGAGGAGAAAAAAATGAAAAACTCAAGGGGAAAGTAGGATGGAAGGAAAGGAGAACCAAGCATGCCTCGGTGGACCCCATTGTCCTCTGGTGAAAGTGGACAATCAAAATCAGGACATGGTCAATGAATATTGCACCACAACTGTAACAATATAAATTAAGGATATCTTTTCTGCAAACAAAAGGGAAGGAAACTCTTTGAATAAAATCTGCAATAAATAACATGACTCGCGCATAGCAGGAATACTGAATGCACTGTGTAGCTGGACGACACGCTCGGTTCTCCTTTCACCTCAATAACACACTCCAAATTCTGGAACACCCAAAAGAGGAATCAAATTGAAATTTACATTTTCTTCCAGGGTCCATAGAAAATCACCGAAGTTGAGTTCACTAAACTAATTGCAATCTATAAATCCTTCTTGAAAGAGAGAAAAAGAGGGAAAACTCTCACAGGAAGCAGGAAGGTTGAGGTCAGGGAGGGTCTTGAGAACCTCAACATGATTGGCTGGGAAGACCCCTATGATCCCATGTAAATCTCCCTTCCACCAATCAGAAGAGATATGCTCTGTCACAATGATATGATCCCCTTTGGCAAATGTGAGCTCATCATCATTCTGTGCCTCGTATGGGAACAGTGCCACAACTTCCTCTGCAAAAAGTAAATCCTTCATTCAAGTTTCCAGTTCGTCTCATCATCTGCTATAACCACTTTCACTAACAAGCTACATTTTTGCTAGTTTCCCCACACTAAATAGGGAAAATCTAAAGAAAATGGGTTAATCCATTCTAGTATTTCAAGTGATTTGATCACTTTTAGCAGGTAGGTGGGAAATGGTGTTCTTGCAGGAAACAATCTGCACCTGACACTGTTGAATAATCTCAACAGAATCAACTAAGAAAACTCAACACAACTATCTCATCTTTTTTTTCTTAAAGACTTATGATACAATAAACATATCAATCTCAGCAGCCTGAAAGTGAGGGGAAATATAGAAACTTATTTATAGGGATGCAACAATAAAGAATTTTTAAAATAATCCTATATTGGCTTCCAATTGGTGATAAATGATACCTAAGGATTTACTTGTTAATGAAGTTTTAATATGAAACTGAAAATGAGATACAGAAAATATTAACAACTCTCCTATTGAGTTTTGTCTTTCTGAAACCAAACCGATTCTAGGTCTAGTGTTGGTCTATATTTTTTGCTTTGTATGTGAATGCATAGACCTAAGTGTGCTGATGACAAATGATTCCTTCTCCTTCTATGCAAATTCAGGAGACCCCGCATGCAAGGACGTAGCCAGGAATTACTTTCAGAGTGTGTCTTGTGAGGCTCTTTCAGGCTCATAAGATGACAAAATGGCTGAGGAAGGTGAGTGGTTGGGAGGAATGAGGAAAACTTCGAAAGCCCTTTCAAGACTTCAACTCCACCCACCTCATAGTTCAAAATAGCCCCTTTCTCTTCCCAAAATTTCAAATTTTTTTTGCATGAAAAGAGATATGGATCAAGGACTGACCTTGAATTAGTCCTAATATAGTGGGTGAAAGCTACTCCTGGATCAAGGTTTGCAACTGGCAAAAAACTGGTAGAGCAATGGGAGGCAAAATGGGGGGGGACACTGCATTAATTTAAGAGTGATTGTATTCATAAGGTGAAATAGGAGTACAAGTTGAAACTTCAGTTGTATATGTGAAACTTTTCACACAAGCCTCTTAAAACAAAAGTCCATGAATGACTTGAACCACTCTCATATGTACTTAAATGGGCATGCACAGCAATATGTACTGTACCCATGGAGCTGAAATAAAAATCTGATGAGTCACCAATGCTGTCTATTCATCAGAAACAAAGTCCCAAATGGTCGTCAGCCGTGCTCCATTCTGGACAATTCTTCAAGCCATGGCCTGCAGAGTATTCAATGTTTGAAAAGTTCCAGGCGTCAATATTCAGCCTTTGACTGCAAAAAAAGCTGAAGGTTTTGACTGCCAGAGTGAGCAGAATTCTGGACTCGGCCTGACCCTGATCCTTAAGATCCTGAAATGATTAGGAATGAGTGACAGGGCTCCCTTACTCCCCAAGGCCACACCCCTAAATGAGTGGAACATGCTAAATTTAGACATGAGAGGAGATTTTCCAGAAATGTAAGAAAGTAGCTGTGATATGAGCAGCATTAAACTTTGTAAAACTGAACAATTCGTTACACAGAACTTGTTATGGAGACACTTCAACATGTAAGTGAATGGGCAAGCAGCTTGAAATTAAAAAGTTAAAAACAAAATTTGTTGTATAGAATGTTTGTAATATCGAGTGTCGACAGCATTGGATGAATAAAATACAGTTGAACTCAGTTATAATGATGAAGAGCACCAGGTCCAGGCATAGAGCCCATAAAAGGTATGTGAAGTTTTACCTTGGTTATTGTGAGAACCTCAGTAATTATGAAGTCCATTCAAGGTCCCACTGAAGAAATTGATAACGTTGACCCCCCTAATTTGTCCTTCCTAATTGTGATTTCCATTTTCTGAAAAATGATTGTTGGCGAGCCATAACTTCATCTTTCCTGGAATCAACATTCCTTAAGAGTCATGTGGGTGTGACTGGAGGAGGGTGAGGGAGGGATAATCCCCAGTAACTAAGATTATCTTATCTTCAGTCGCCATTTGCATTTTTTGCTGACAAAACTGGCCAGTGAAATGTGAAAGAGGCAAGCCTTCATGATCAACAAGAAAGCGTGCATAATTCATTTAATAGAAAGTGGAGGAAGTAAAAAGTTGACGTTGCTCATGAACATGGACTTCCTAGTTGACCAAAATCTGCTTCTACAATTTGGAAAAATTGTGACAGCTTCATTCATGCTTACGAGAAGAACATGCCACAAAACAAAAGCTGGCAGGAAGCCAGTGTAGGATGACCAATGTACACTAGAGTTGCACATAACACCAATTTTGGAAACAGGGAAATGGAATGCCAATAAATGCAACATCGGTTATATCCCTGATCTCTTCAATGATGTTATAACCAAGTTTGATTGTATATTATCACAAATACTCAAAGAAATTTCGAACATCAAACTAGCATCTGGTACAATACAATAACACACACCCACTAATTCATCAAATCTCATATATGTCAGCAATGAATCACAGAGTTTGCTGTGTTTCAGGTGGTTTTAAGGAGTGAGAAATAATCTGATTGGCTGCATACATTTTGGGGATTGATCACAAATAATTTATCTCATTAGTGCGTTAGTGTACAACAGGGACTGTAGGTTGCAATATGAAACTTCCACACCAAGTTAGCCACATTGAGACAGATGTGAGAAAGCATACCACGGATATTGAAGGGGAATGCAGTGGTTTCAAAGTCAGCCAATTCCCGCGGAAGAGGAGAAGTACGAGTGGAAGATGATACACTCCCACTTCCAGACTTCACCTTCACATAAGATGCTGGAAACCAGCCTGATTTCTTCTTCTGTCCCTTTGCCTTCACCAACAACAATGAAGCATTAAGTAGTTACTCTCTTGGGGATCAACTCAATACAGTCAACTCTCATTCATCCCATGCCAATACTGCAAATTCTTCTTAGCCCTTAATTTTTTAATTAGAAAATGGTACCTCTCAATTGGCATCAAAGTTTAAAATGTTATAAATATGACAAGGCTTAAAATGTTATATCTTTACTGCTTCTTCTGGATTTTCATGAGTCCACAAGCAGAGTGAGGTATTTTCTTTCTTTTTTTTCCTGTAAAATGTTTAGTCAGCTACTATAGCCTGGCCAGAAAAAGTACAAGACCTTGCAAAAGGTTTCAAATGAGTGAGCTATGGGGGGAAAAAGACTTGTAAATGTGCCAAAGAAACTCTAATCAGATCTGGAAGTATCAGAGTAAAATGACCTGATCTTTTCTATAAGACAAGACAATTTTCTCTGCAACTCTGGGGCAAAGATTAAATAGCTGAGTTTAAAATCATCTAAAGCAAAAGTTTCTTTTTACTTTGCTGAAGAATTCCCTTCTTTCAGTCACCATCCTCCTTCCCACTTCCCCCCTCAAGTTCCCATATGGGGCAAAAAAGGATTACGCTGCTTCCTCTGGATAATGTCTTCCTGGCATGTCGGAACAAAAAAAAAAAAGTTGGGATCCCCTGGTGTGTCTAGTTGAATGGACTCATTACTGTGAGCATAAAAAACCTGAATAAAGGAATGTTGCATTACTATAAGTGGAGTTTATCTTCTCACAGAAAATAAAAGAAAAATGAGTGGTTACTCAGTCTGGTTTTCAGGAACCAATCACTCATGGGTTTGCAGCACTCAAAATGATAGTTAATCTGGAGAATGACAACATGGTCCTGTCTTTTGCCTTTTGGATTATTGAGAGTTGACTTCATAATGAAAACAAAATGGTGACAGAAAATTACCTGTAGTTCTCCTTCCCACCAGCCAGAGCTAGACTTCTTCTTCACTTGAATGAGCTGTCCCCGAATGAGACTCAGCTGTTCAGGGGTTGTGGCAGTGTATGGGGCAATTACCTGTGCTATCTCCACCTTTTTTCCTTTCCCCTATCAAAATCAAGATTATCAACTGTTAATTTTCTTAAAAGAGGTCACAGTAGTCCAACATAGGAGGGCAGCATGGTCTTTTCAGACAACAGGTTCACTCATTGCTGCTTCAGATTTCTACTATTTAAGAAGGGGAAGAAACTTTCCTCAGTTAGCCCCACTTACCTTGTATTCCCTTACAGCCTCAATGATTTCCTTGGAAGCATTAAAAAAATTGGACAAGTTTATTTTCAAGTATAAAGTAAGTTCATATAGAAAACATTATAAAAAGGGGAAGAACAGTGGGGACCAACATTATTGCAACACCTTAAAATTCACCTTCCTCACTCAGGTAATGTATTGGATAAACTTTTGCATGATGTGATGAAATACTGAAATGCTATTACTTCAGCCATTATTTACTAATGAAAAAGGGTCATGACTGAAAGATATAAGCCAGTTGTTACTTGATTATAATTGTGGGTTGTCACTTTGAAAAATTAGCATATTATCTTATATCATGAAGACCACAGGAGGAATAACAAAATATTACATGGATGTGAACATATATTGTATGTCCATGTGATATTTCTGAAATAAATAAAACCAGAAATATGAGATTTCAACTCCTGATTTTGAAAAGAATATCATGGCAACTCCACTTAACCCCTTAACTGGGAACTTTTGAACACATATGTACAGTGATTCCATTGAGAGAAGGCAGGTGCCAGACCGCACATATGCGGCGAGTCCATTTAAGGGGTTAAATCTAAGGTAATTAATACATTCAGAACATGTCAAATCTGACTTTGTCACAAAATAGCCATACTTTCTTCTGTAAGTTCTGTAATCTCAGGTTGACTTATGCTAATTTCAGGCTTCCATTTAATCTATAGAGTGAACATAATATAAAGTTGATATGCTCTACTTCATGACAGACTAGCAGAGGTACCTGGCATTGCATGGGTGAATATTGTATACATCCCATATTTGAGGGTTTAATATTGTTTTAATGCCTCTTTGGCAAACCCAGCTAGAAATTGTTTAAAATATGTAGTTTTTAATACACAACCAATTGGAAAATTCCAGCAGCAAACTGCATGTTACAAATTAAATTTCTTTATTAAGCCCCCAAAATTTTGACTCCTTGGGGGGGTCTGTTGTAGTGAATTGGCCAAATCTGCACTAAATAAGGTGCCGCAAGGGGTCCAAATTTTGAAACACCACCTAGCCTATGACCATCCCTGGACCAAATGAGGAAACCATGCAAAGTTTGGTTGGACTGGGATCAGAGGCGTGGCTGTGCATAAAGGACAGACACACAAACACTCTGAAATATAATAGTATAGATTTGTGACAATTAGAGTAAGTGACATAAACCTGCGATTTCATGAAATGTCATGTCCAACACTTTTTTTGCAATCAGATACATTGCAAAAGAGAGTATGGAAGACTTTGGCTTATGTCTTTACCTGTTGATTCCTCATTCATAATATAGTTAAATACATTGTGTATATCACACTTATTACTTCTGGAGTTGGTCTTATAGAGGATTTAGCATAGTTTTAATTGAACAAGTTTTTGAAGTTCCAAATAATTTTTTACTACAAAAACTACAAAAATCTGAAATTATAAATGCTTCTGTTTTAGCCAAAGAATACTTTAAAATAAAACTCTTATTCATCTGATCGCAGGACTAGACCTATCACTGTCACACTTTGTGATTGAACATAGTTCCCTAGATTTTTGTAATGCATGTAAATCTCTGTCATGTTTTGGTTAGATGCAGCAAAAGAATCAAGCAAAGCAGAACGAAGGTTGTAAAAAAGGGAGCAGCCAAATACATGACAGGATATTAATGCAAGTAATAAAAAAAAACATTTAAATGCTTAAATATTATCTGCCATATTTCAATGCTGAATAAATCAACTCTAAAAGAGTATTTGCTGATGAAGTTTGCTTCCCGAGAGATTACAATGGAGTTAAAACTGTTCTTGTCACAGTGATATGCAAAAAGGATAGATACAAAGCACAGGGAAAGGGACATGGTGGGCACAAACCTTTTTTTTTTACACTAAATATTTAAAAATCTAGAGCCTTGGCTATAAAAGCTGTAAAGTTGAAATTATGCTCAGTGACAGTTGAAAAGTACATTCCTCTTCAAAGTAATGAGTTCACTTGTAACAGAATCAACATGTAACTGCTGATGGCAAATTAATTTTTTCATTTTTCACTGATTTTGGCCCAGTTTCTCAAAGGAACTTCCCTGATTCCACTCTTGTTTCTTCCATTTGCAGGTGAGTAATAGTTGACCACTTTGACAAAAGTGATTAGAATGCTGCACCCAAATCAGGAAGAAAGAATAATTGTTGGATGTATGTGCACAAGCATCCAAATCAAGCGCAAAGACTTTGTGGGACTCATTTTAGATTGGAACAACCAGCAAGACATACAATAAGATGGCTCTGGGAGAAGTTCCATGAAATAGAAAGAGCACTAGATCATGATTTCTACTTAAGTGCTCTTCAATGGGCTTGAATTTACTTCAAATGATGCCACAAGTAAAAGCCAGGGGTTTACTAGTGCTGCTGAGAGCTCATCCAGAATGAAGTTGATCCAGAACCCTTACTATTTTGTGGAAAAGAAGGAACCTCCAGAAAGACAGACTATTAGTGTTGGGTTTGAATAGAAAAAATCTTTGCAAGAAAAAAGCAAGGTCTCATCAAGATGGCAACTATGTTACAACCAGGTAAAATGAGGCCCGTTTCTAGGTGTGTTGGCACCTTGGGCAATCGCCTGCCCTTAGAAACGGCCCTGAGGAGAGAAAAAACCTAACAAAAAAAATAAATATTCAAAAGTTTATCGACATTTGACTGGGCGCTAAGGGTAGAGGATATCTTATCAAGACTTGGCAAGAAACTAAATTCAAGATATTGTTTGAAACCCAACCCATCTGACAATGTAAGACTTGGCAAGAAACTAAATTCAAGATATTGTTTGAAACCCAACCCATCTGACAATGTGTCCTCAAAAGTTTTGCACTTGAATGGTACACTCATGCACCTTCATCCATGAAACAACTTTTATTCTTTCTTCCTGATTCCTTTTAATCCCTTTTTTTCAAAGTGCTCAGTCATCATTTGTCTGTAAAGGGAAGAAAAGAGAGTAGAATCAATGGAGTTCCTGGGAGAAATTAGGCAAAAATCAGTGAAGAAATAAACTTTCAATTGATGGCACCATATAGGTTTTGCTTAAAATGAACAAGTGATTTTGAATAAAAACTTCCAATTTTCTACTATCACTGTAAAAAAATTTAAACTCTGCAGCTTTTGCAGTAAAGCTCTAAAAAAGAATATTTCTGGTAACAAACTTTGTGTCCACCTTATAAATTTAGCTCTACTAATGAAATTGATAACAAATGGTGTGAAGAGATGATGCTACATCATATGATTTATATACTTGGCTGAATACTAAATTTTTTCAGATATGTTAGTGGAGTTGTAGGAGAGTTGTTCAAAGTTTCCACAAACTGCTTTTAAAATCGACAATAAAAGTTGAATAGTCATGAATTTAAGCATGAGTGATGTCCTAACATCTGTTGGTCTGCTGAAGAAACTGCACACCAAAAATGGCATAGGTAATTATGAATGATCAGTTAAGAGGAATTAACTTCACCATTGACAGAGACCTCAAAGAAGTTGCCACAACTTGGCTCTGCCAACAACTGACAGCCTTCTTCCAGAAGGGGATACCCACCAGATGGCAGAAATGCATCAACAGTGAAAATTATTTTGAAGATTAATGAAGGTATGTACATCACTCATGGCTACTTTCATGATGATCCAACTATTATTGTCAATTTTAAAATAATTTGTGGAAACTTATTGAACATATTTTAATATGGTAAAGGCCAGTAAGAAACATGAAGTCAGAAAGGGGAGAAGATGAAAACAAGGACACAATGCTGACATAGTCAGTTCAAGCTATCATACCTTAATCTCACTGCTAGGAGACTGGATAGTCTGGGGAAAGGAGAATAATTCATTCAAATATACACCTATACAAAATCTGAATTTTGCACTTTTGGTCTTGAAAAAAAAATTAAAGAACAAAGAATAACAGCTTACCTTGGGTTCAATGGTTTTTTCCCCCTCTTGATCCTTGGAAGTGTGAGAGAATTGACAGTGTTAGAAATACTAATAGCTCTACTGCTATGGCAGACACAACTGAGGTTACTCACAAATGGCTCAGGCCCTGCATCAATCTGAGATATTTCTCCAGCAAGTGGAGGGGGGAAAGCAGGTTGAGTGTTCTCAGGGGCCTCACAACTATCTACCTCAGTCTGAAGTTTTAGACAAGTGTTAGGCTTCATTACTAGCAATGAAAGATCTTGGCATGGATAAGAGCAAGCACTTTCAACAATCATCACTGGACTCACAGGCGGGTCAATACATGTGACGTAGTTGGCAGGAAATAGGCCTGAGCGTGACGGATCTCCAACATACCCTGACCACCAATCCCCATCCTTCTTGGTTACACATACTACTTCTCCTTCGTTAAAGCGCAAGTCTCCAGCTTCTACTGGCTCATATGGGTATAATGTCCGAGCATAATCTACAAACACAATAGTCAAACTATGAACCATACATGAGCTAAGCTGTGTCAACTCAACCAAATTTTTCACTCTTTGGGCTCATCACTTCTGTTTTCTATTTTAAATTGGCAGGAAGTAAGATGTCATGGCTCTAAGTAAGGATATTAGGATTTCATTGAAAGTGGATGAGAATGAGAGAAGATCATTTGCTAGCTTTGGCATCACTGTGCACCTTCTGAATTGCTACTCCATAACACATGAAAAAATGTTGCTTATAACTGAGCTCAAGCTATGTTGGTTGCTTAGGTCAGCCACGGGGAGAATTGTTGTACATGAGATATTCCTACTTGCTTCCACTTGAAATGCTCAAATGCTAATTATGTTGATAGAATATGTTGATAGAATAAATGTTGATAGAATATGACAAAACTTTCATAAGAAATCTAGATAAATTCCCCTCAACAAAAGAGAGGACTTGAACCAATTTGTCTTCACTTGTATGTGAAAAGCCTAAATACTTTTGGAATGACCCTTGAATTGAGGAGTACTAAGCACTCGTGGGCTGATTAGTATTTATGAACCAGAATTTGTTCAATTTACTAATAGAGACAAGCTCCCTTTTGGGATAAGTAAAGAATTAGTTCCTTAAGTCCTGGACAAATCTTCAATACAAATGCCACAAGGAGAAATGCATGAGTGTTCCTCTTGTCTGTAAATTGTGAAAAGTTTTGGAGTATTAAAAGTGAAGGGAGATATGTAAAGTAATAAATTTTGCAGGTTTGCAGAATTGAACCAACCTTCTCTGACAATTCTTCAAAGTAATTTGTGTTCTTTAGACTTCAGATAATTAAGCCCACCAAAACATGAGAAAACCTATTTCAGTAAAACATTAGAACCAGGAACCACAGTTCCTCATCTGAAAGTCCCTACTTTAACCTACATATCCATGCTTTTTAATTTTTTGCTCATCAATGACCTTGACTTGACCCTGATGCCTGAAAGTGTGACCTTCCCTTTCTTAGGTCAGGGGAGACCTCAATATGAAATTTAGTCAGAATTTGAGAGAATCCATTGTCTCTGTGATATGCAAAAGCTGGTCACTTCTTAAAAGTCACTCAAGACAATCACACAATAATGCATGAGACCCTTACCGAGGATTCCATCAGTGGGTACCTCAGCTGCTTCATTGCTAAAAATAAAAAAATGTATCATCCATCATCAATGATAATAAATTTGCTGATTCATGCAGCAGATAACATCCTGCACATACGCATTGACAAAGGCTGGGGCAGGTTCAGGTTCAAGAGCTTCAGGCTCTGCCTGAAGTGGTTCAACATAAGCCTCAGGGAAGATTCCAACCCGTCCATCAACCTTTCCATGCAACCAGCCAGGTTCCACAGGAACTCTTGATGGGACCAACTAGACAAATTTCCAAGAGTCACTAAATTATAACATTTAAATCCTCCAATGTGATAGTCTATGCATTATGGCCAAAGTTAACAACTTACCAGGACTATGTCACCAGGGTTAAGGGAAAGTTCATCAGGATTTCGAGCCTCAAAGGCATAAATAGCCTGGTACTTCACTTCCTGCTCCAGTCCCACGACTGATACAATCAGAAGAAAAGATCAGATTGAGCTTATCTGTATTAGAGACTGGAAAATAACAGGAAATGATACAAATGAATCTGCCTTACTAGGAAGTTGTTGGCCAATGATAGTTGTGGTTGAAGGAGATGCTTTAGGTGTCTCAGAAGGAAGATCCTCCCATACTGTAGTTGGGTAAATGGCTGCCCTTATTCGTTCATTTTTCTGGTTCTCTCGAATCTCCAGCACCTACCGATGATTACAATCATATTCACAGGCCTAAACATAATGTCTATAATTACTAGTACAGAATGTTTTAAACAATCATGTTGATTCTCAATCACCATTGCTCTCCAATGTCCATGTCAAACACCATGCTTAAAAAAAAACTTTTGCCTAAAATGATGGGGAGAGCAACACAATTTCAAGTAATCAAGCTACAAATCTGCATGAGTGAAAAAGGTAGACAGACCTTGCGTCGCTTTTCACTAAATGTCTGATACAGACGAGAGAGATTGTGATGGGTGTCACTGAGCTTCTGCTTCAATTCAGCCATCTCCTCATTCTGCTTTTCGAGCTCCCCCATTCGACTTGCCTTCAAAGTCTCCATCTCTTCTGCCTTTTCTTTCAGTTTTTGAATTGCAGCCTCCTTCTGTGCTTTCTGCACAGCTAAGGCTGTCAGATCTTGGCCTGATGCAAACAGAACATCATCAGCTTTGAATTTCCAGAGAGAAATTATTTAAATATCAAAAGGGATTAACCAGCAGGGCTGTTAGTGGCACTGATGCGGCTCTTTTCACTCAGACGGGTCTTCTCAGCGATGACTTGCATGAGTCGCTGATTTTGTTCCCTCAGTTGGGTCTTGTAGTTGCTAATCTCAGCCAACTTGGTGTCTCGAGTCACACGCATCCCATCAATGGTTCCCTTAACTTGAGCCACCCCCTTTCGTGCTTCAGACATTTTTTCTGTCAATTCCTTAATCTTGTCCGTCTGTCAGGCATAAAAGTAATGAATTGATACTGTCAAGTCAAGTTTGTAGAGGACCCCAGGAACTCTAAATCTGAAGGAGGCAGACTCACAAGCTGAGTGACTTGAATAGAGACAGTCTGCTTCTGGGACTTCAAATGAAGAACTTTCTCCTGTTCCCTTTGTCGAATCTGCAAGAGCTCAGTACGACGCTGCTTTTCCCACTCAAGTTGCCTCTGCCGTTCGGCTTCCTTCCGTGCAGCTTCCTTCTGCTCCAGCAGACGACGCTGTTCTTCTTCTCGAGCCCGCTGAAGCTCCCGCTGCCGCTCCAACTGAGCCTCTAACTCTGCTTTCTTCTTTGCTTCCTGCTCCAATCGGATCTTCTCCAGTCGCTCCTGTTCCTCACGTTCCTTACGCCTGCGCTCTTCCAGCTCCCGTTCCTCCTGCTCTTGCAAGGCCTTGCGACGCCGTTCTAATTCTGCATTCCCTCTGTCAAAATTCTCCTTCCTCTTATCTTCAAAGCTGGCTGCAATATAGATTCATAAAAATAAAGATGTTCATAGATAAAGAAAATATAATTTGAATGTTAAGGAGCTTTCTTTTTTATCTTGGTAAAGATCTATAACAAAATGCTCCTAAAAATAACTGGAAAAAGGTTTCTCACTCCAACAAAAAGTTGGGTGTTATGGGCTGCAGTCTGCCTTAAAATTAACATTAGCCTGAGTCAGCAAGCTTTGGGGAAAAAACTACCAGGGTCTTCCAAAGCATCTCATGATTGCTTATGACAAATCCCACCAAACTTGCTGAGGATATAGCATGTCTTCATCTATTTGAGTCAACAAGGCTGAAAAAATCCATTAATTTCAATGAAAGTTATTAACAATATTCTAGACAAGTCTGACAATTGAAATAGCCAGTTCTTTCAAAAACCAAAAAGGAATGTTCTGAATGTAATATGATACAATTTTCTGATTTTCACTGATTCATCTGCTATTGATAGGAAATTAGATCATGAAAATCATCTGCAAGAGATGACCAGCCTGATGAATAAATTTAAATGTAGGAGTGTGATGTGGTCTTGATAACCAGGTAGGACAATACTCTACTCTATTTCCTCTACTCCACTACCAACAGGAGTGCTTGTCCATTCTCGATGTCTAGTTTCTTTTGAATAACAGACAATATTATTGCTTCAGCCAAACAAATTTGTATGAAATTTTGAGAATCAGCTGGAAATATACTCATATGCACAGTGAAAGCTTCATGAAAATAGATCCAGTGTGTGCCAAGATACTTAGGTGAAAGAGGTTGGTCTTTATTTTGTCATACTCTACAGGGTGGCAGAAAAGTAACTCCCTGCTTTAAAATTACAATAACTTTAGTACATATTTAGCTGGATCAATGGTTTTTGTGCCAAAAAAATAAAATTCAATGAGACTTTATGATTTCAATTATTTGTTTGTTAGCATTGACCCTTGAGGGTGCCAAAATTAAATCTTTAACACCATGTGCAAATAGCTACACAGCATGAAGTGTGGAGGCCCTCCATTATGGTTCAGAGATGGTGGTGAAAGGAGAATGCCTTGGATGCAACTCCTTACCTCCACATCTGACACCATGCAGCTATTTGCACATGGTGTCGAAGATTTAATTTTGGCACCATGGAGGGTCAATGCAAACAAACAAAACAATGTAATCATAAAACCTCATTGAATTTTGCACAAAAACCATTGTTCAGGTCCAAATAGTACAAAATTTACTGCAATTTTAAAATAGGGAGTTACTTTCCAACCACCCTGTATAAGGCTAAGAAAACCTATGTGAACCTGCAAACAAGGTTCACAGGAATGGAGATGCCTTTTCCTGGGAAATATGATGGGAAGGCATGGGTGAAAAGAGATTTTAAAAATATTCATGCAGGAGAGAAAGTGCAATGACAGGAATAGAGTATTAAAAGGGATTTTCAAGTCAAAATACAGAGGAAAATCCATATTTTAGGTCCTTTCCCTTATGAAGTGACAGCCATATTTATATTTTTATTTCCCTGAATATGGTTGGAGCCTCAACTGTGAAGCCTGCTGCTCTATTCACTGAAAGCTAACAAGAACGTGAATTCAACATGAATCCTGCTGCTCTATTTTGCATGTTGCTGAGAGGTTGGAGCTCGATCTAGTGAATTAGGATCACCCAATTCTCAGCTGTCATTTTGAAATATGCTTTGTGAAGCACGAAATTGTATGTATGTCTTTATAGTACTAGTACCTGGAATATTCAAACTGTGCTTCACCATGTGAGATAATAAGAATATCAGACTGATTATCACGCCTTGTGAGTTGTGTCATGCATGCAATTTTGTGTGACTTCAATTCACAGTCACAATTATTGTGCATGTCAGTGATTCTCAAATTATATTGAATCATGGGTTTGTGTGAAAACATAATTTTTCTTATGATCATGAGGTGAAAATAACTTAAGTGTACACCTCTAGTTGTAAGTCTATAAGCTGAATAACTAGAAGAAAAAGAAGAGACATCCATAGTTTCCCTTCATGAATTCTCCTGTCCAACTTTTTATCCATGGTGGACTTGGCAATGATAGATCACTCTTAAAAATTCATTTACAAACATTTTTTCTTTTATAACTAGGGGAAGGGAGCACAGGTTGGTGGACTTCCCTGGAAATTCCTATTTGTCACCTTAGGTTCATGGGAAGAAAAAATATTTTCCCTACACTACCATGAACATAAACTCTACTCCATAAAGTTTTGGGATGCCCCACTTTCCAATAGGAGAGACCAAATGCATGTGTAATTTATGGACTATGGTCCATGACACAGTTTTGGACTCTAATTGGATGGAATTTGTAAAGAGAAGAGGTAATGTATGATTTTGGGTATATACTAAACTACTAAAGCTTTTGAAACGTGTTGATAGTATCCAGTGAGTAATAAAATTGTTTTCACATTGTAAAACCTGTCTACAACCTAGAAAAGATGAAAGGAAACATGTCCAATTCTGAATGATTCTATGGTTCATCATATATCACTGTGGTCCTTAATTAGAAGAAAATACTCATACAGTAAACCCTACTTAAAACAGAACTTGGATAAGACAGTGACCTGTCTTTATTCTGAATATTTCAGTGACTCCATGCGTTTCTGCTTTAGATAGGTTTCACTTTATCATAATTGAAGATCTTACTTACAGTATTCAATTTAAAAGGCCTGAACAACACTTCCTAGCTGTCATATTTCAAGATCTCTCAGATAATGTGATTAGTAACTTATAGGAATTCCAAAAGGAATTCATTCCATAGGACATGCATACATACCAACACAATTAATGAGTTTCATCAACATGTTTGCTAACAAGGGAAAAAAACAATTAAAAAACAGCTGTTTTCTATTGGATTTTACACAATGCTCAACAATTACTGTTTCTATTTGCAGAGGCTATTTATGGGTTTGTTGAAGAGTGCCATAGGTTTACAACTCTACTGCCTAAATCATCTTGATTTGAACCATCTAAACCAGACTTGAAATTTCAAACTTACTTTTCAGGAGAGAATTTCTCATGCATAACTAAATGTAAATTTGGTCAATTTTAGAACTAATTCTAGCTCTAATTGAACCCCTTCTTTTTTTAAAAATCAACTGTGAAATTCATACTAGACATAATCATAATTAAAGTTGTTGAGTAATGCTAGTTTAAGGAAGAGCAACATCTGTATCTCTACTACTATGGAAAAATACAAACTCCAAGCAGTTGGGGCATTCACTTTGAACAATCAACTAGAACTACAGGATGAGACTCAAGCAGGCCTCCAACAAGTCTAGGTGAGATATCCATCCGCAAGACTATTAGAAGGCAGCAGAAGGAGAGATATTCCCTTTACCTCCAGAGGTAAGAAGCAGTTGAGAAGAGGGGGTTGAAGAATCACTGGGTTGTGGCTGCTGCACTTCAAAATTAGCAAAGTCTGGATCCCAGAAATGAAATGGCATGGAGGAGGAGAAAGGCAAGCAGTCAATGCAGAGAGGAAGCCAAAAGATGGAAATTTCAACACTTCATCATATTAGAGTCTTAAAACTAGTCTACTTCAATCAGATATGGAATTTCAATTTGATTTAAATGTAAGGACAGCAAGCACATGAACCAGGAAAGAAAGAATCTGATTTTCTACACTACCTGAAGCAGGTAAAAGCAGAATAGGGAATTAGGCTTACCAGGTATTGCTTTTGCAATTTGCTCTTCAACAGGGGGTTGATGGGGAAGAACCTGAGGCCCCATACCATTAAGGAGGCTTCCAGGAGTCCCTGGTTTTGAACCAGGACGTCTGAATGATGGAGGGATGAGATCAAGGGATAGCTTCACAGGGAGTGTTTCTCCTCTTTTCACTACATCAGTCAAATGCATGGCAAGGACAAACTCTTCACATGTTAATCGTCCGTCTCCATCCACATCAGCCAGGGACCTATACCAATTCATCCACATGTCTCTCTGGATTCCTTACCAAGAAAGGCTTAAGGTAGAAATGTTTACCAGATTTTGGCCAGTGTTGTTTGCTGCACACTGGTCTGGAGTAGCAGAGAGCGAGCTTGTTGGCCAGTGAGATATCCAGATTTCAATTTATCAGCCTGATTGAACTGCTGGGTGTACTTCAACTTTGATGGTTGTGGGATTGCCCAATCTGGAGGAGACCTGACAAGAGATGAATAATATTTTATGCAAAACCATTTAAGTGGTTATAAGGAGCTGATTTGTAAGAGCCAGAATGAACCAATAGGTGGACTGCTTATACTTATAATCAATCTTTTGTCTATTCTATTCTCACAAGAGGTGGTTCTCTTTTTTCCACATGAACATGTCTAACAATGAGTTATGAATGTTCTAGGTTTTTAGCCAAAAGTTTGAAGAAAAAAATTAAAGCTCATTTCTGCTGGACCTATAATTGTAAGCATAATGGGGCAAGCTTTTTTCCACTCAACTGATCATTTATCCAAACCTTTCTCTGCTCTCACTGCAACAAAATCCATCTCAGACACTCCTGGGTCTTAGCCAAATCCCATCATTTGAAGTAGCAAAACTAGCAAACCAGCAGCTAAATTCCGACACGTTGAAAACACTCACATCATATCAGAGGAACGTCGACCTCCAGCAGAGGCAGGAGGAGTTGATGTCAATGGAAGTTGAGACAAGGTTGTTGGTTTCACAACTGAGATTAGGGATGTTGGAATTGCAGCTCCCACTCCTGTAGACATGAGACCAGCATCATGAAAAATACCTGCAATGTGATATAAGACAAGTTCAAACACTTGGTTACCAATAGCAGAATGGTCAGTAAAAGAAAATTGCCAATTTTCATCTGTAGGTCTATACCTTGTGGAACAGAGGATGTATGAATTGGCTGCTGAAATGCCGAGGTCACAAGCGGAGCAGAAGATATAACACCCACATTGGGAGCAGATGACATCAATAGAGGAGGAGATGAAACTGCAGTTGGAGCCATAGGCATGGGTTGAATTGCACCAATTGGTGGAATGTTTCCTAATGAAGAAACAGGTAAAACAAAAGCAAAGATAAATAAATATGTAAGAATCTGATTCCTGATGCAAAAGAGAAACAACATGTGAGTCACCATATTAACCCTTTGCAACCCACACAACACCATGAAATTGTAGCTACACTCCAGTGTCATAGTACATGCACCACCTCTTCTTTCCATGTAACACCCTGGCCTACACTACAGGAACTGTTTTAAGAGATTTCACAGCCTGAAGGAGTACAAAGTTTGAGTGCCACATTTTACTCTGCTAAATAAAACAAGAATCATTAATTTTCATTCCTGAGAAAATCACTTTCTTCTGAACCATGCTTTTTTTCAGTTTTTTACCTGGTGCAAAGAATAAAAAAACAAGATTCTTCTATGGAGTGCAAAGGGTTAAATCATAAGTCACGGTAAAGAGCAGCCCCAATGAATATAATGGAAAAAATAATTGAATTGGGGTCATATTCTATTACATTTTTAAGTGCGATTTTCCTTTTAGCAAGTTGCTTAGCTGGTATTTGCCCCATTCAAATGCATGGCCAAGGTTGAGCAATTTGCTTTAACTAAGTTTAAGATTTTAATAGAATATGGCCCCTGATCCTACAGTTTTCCAATCTCAAATAAGGATGAGAAGAGCAGTCAGAATACAAGTGAAAGGAAAAAAAGGATTCTAGCATCCAAAGTCAGATCTTATACAGGACCTTCACTGTACAATTCAAGCAAAAAGGCTAAATGTGAGAAAAGCAAGTTGGCAGTGCAATAAAAAACCAGCTTCTTAACCTGCACCTGTAACACTATTGCTCCTTCTTCATCAGCAAATATATTTGGGTTGACCCAAAAATAATGAGACTTTGATACTAACTAGATATCTTACTATTTTAACGCATAAAAGTTTGAAAGCCAGGAAAATCAATAATCAACAACTGCTATGGTAAAATGTAAAAAAAAAATTGATTTTTGCACTTGAGTATATATTCAAATCTTTTCATGCATTATTATTTGTAAGTGCAATGCATGGAACACACCAAAGAGAATTTTAGATTTTATATGTACACAGAATGGAAACATGGCACCAATCCTGCCAGCATTCACCAGAATCTATGCTCTGTATGGGGAGATGACACCTCGGGATTGTCAACTGTGCAATGCTGGATGCAACAATTTAACAATTTAATTCAATTGTCATTTCCCCATCTAAAATTCTCTTTGGTGTGCTCTATGTGTCACACAAACAATAATGATGCAGGAAAAGATTTTAATTTAAACTTGAATGCAAAATAAAAAATTTTTAAATTTTACCATGGCAGATGTTGACTATTGACTTTCCTGTTTTTCAAACTTTAATGTGTTAAAATTGCAAAGATATCTTATTAATATCAAAGTCTCATTATTTTTTGGTCAACCCAAATATAAATACATAACAATCTTTAATAAACCTATATCTTTGTAAAGATCATGAATATCAGAATTTATCATCTTATATACATGGGTTTTCATCTTCATACTTCTTGCACAACCTCAATTGCTTCTCTTACATTGTTTTGGCATACAATGTTTTTTGCATAACTTTTATCAATCTAACTTATTTCCCTGAAGCTGTTGTCAACATGGATAGACACCAAGTAAATGCTATCATCAACAGCAAAAAAGGAATGCAGAAGTGTAAAACCCATTGAGCAACATTTCTACCTAACTGAATGATCTACAACTTCACAACCCAATGGTAAGAGTCCATAGAAAAGTAAAAAGCAAACATAAACAGAAGGAAAAGTCAATTGAAACACACTGTTCTACAAGAAATCCAAAACCTATTGATACAAAACAATAACAACCATCAAGGATCATGCTTCCAAAAAATCAAAGAAACAAGAGGTAAAGGCAAAAGAACAGCCAATTGAAGGAGAGAGGCTTCAAGAGTATGCTATGCCACACCCTTCCTGCAGGGTGAATCTAAGTGAGACCTAATTTTTATCAAGGATGTGGATTAATTCAAACTTCTGAGTCCCAAATAAATTTTAAGATTTAATCTGCTGAGCCAGACAGCTATTGCTGTTTAGGAAAAAAAGAAGCAAAAGGGTCACTAGTAATTTGAAATTCTAAACACATTCACTGTCAAAGACAGCTATAGTCATTTTCACAAATCTGTTCAAAATAGCTCTCAAATTCTTAAATTCTTTAACAGGTATAGCCCAAATACTACAAAAAAAAATTGAGAAACATCAAGGAGACAAAGAAGAAGTGACGTAGAGATTGATTTTTACTCACAGCTCAACAGAAAATTTACTTTTGCTGTTTGAAAAAGTGCTTTTTTTTTTAAGTCACACATGGCAGTGAATGTGGTAATAAGTCAATGTGTTCCCTAAAGATAGTTCCAAATATAAGTTAAGTTTCCTACCTGAAGAATGTTATCTTTCTGAGAGTTGTATCACTTCCACCTCATGGCTTATTATTCATCAATGAACTCTACACATGCATTGACTGGAAAATACATTGCTATGCAGGCATAAAAACATTAAATGCCTTTAAATTCTTTGAGGTTTACTAAATCTTTTCTGAAAATATTTCTGTCTATCTTCTAAAAATCCTTACATTTGTTATTTATTGTCTCCAACAACTTTACTGTGCAAGCCACCTTCAAAAGGCAACTGGAATTCTTTTCACATTATCTGCAACATTGACCTTTGGACCTGCAGCCTTGAGTAAGAGGAACAATCCCTTTGAAGGTTCTTTTCACTCTGCACTTAATGTGCTTAACAGCTCACAGTGGTATGAAAGTCCAAAATTCTTGGACAAAAATAAAATGTTGAAAATGGAGGAAGAAAAAATTTTTTCTTGTTAAAAGTTACGGATTGAAGTCCTTGTCCTGCATCGATATTTCTCCAGGCCTTCCTCTGGTTCTTTATTAGCCTTTACATGGTGCAAAGGTCAATGATTTGAACTTTTCTTAAAATATAAAGACTTGATGCAAATTGTGACAAAAATTTGCTATGTAATACGACCGTTCTTGTCGCTGTTATTTTCATCAAGTGCGATCTGAAGGTGTACCTGAAAGTGAGTCTTGCTTGTTGTATGTACAGTTTTACTCCTGATGTGTATGCATAACTCATGTTATTTATTAGATCCTGTGATTGATGAACTATTTCTAATGACAAGGCAAATTTATCGAGTGAATTTGAAGTACTTCTCAAATAATTCCTTATAGGCCAATGAGAATCTATTAATGAAGAAGAAAATCAGCCCAAAATCTCCTGCACCCAGCTGCACCTAAAGTGAGGAAAATTTTTCATATTTTTCCAGGATAGATGCCAATGCCTTTGACCCAAAAGGACCTCTACAACATCACGAGGCAAATGAACCGAGCTAAGCCCAAAATCTCCTGCACCCAGCTGCACCTAAAGTGAGGAAAATTTTTCATATTTTTCCAGGATAGATGCCAATGCCTTTGACCCAAAAGGACCTCTACAACATCACGAGGCAGATGAACCGAGCTGACCCTGCTGACTCAAGTGTCATTCCAGTGTTGGTCAAGCCCATTCAAGCCCACTACAAAACAAGCCAGGATTTTCATGATTCATTGCAATGTCAATTATGAAAAAGTGCCGAGCTATTCAGAAGACTTGCCTTGGTTCTTCAGGCTAAATCTTCCAGAAAGACTGAGAGGTTTTCAGACAGCGATGTCAATTGGCTGGAAGTGGTCTTCAAAAAATTGTTCCTCACTTTAGGCACAACTGGGCACAGGAGATTTTGGGCTGATTTTCTTCTTCATTAATAGATACTCATTGGCCTATAAGGAATTCTCTGAGAAATCTTGAGAAGTACTTCAAATTCACTTGATAAATTTGCCTTGTCATTAGAAATAGTTCATCAATCAAATACACAGGATCTAATAAATAACATGAGTTATGCATACACATCAGGAGTAAACTGTACATACAACAAGCAAGACTCACTTTCAGGTAGACCTTCAGATCGCACTTGATGAAAAAACAGCAACAAGAACAGTCGTATTACATGACAATCTTTTGTTACAATTTGGCATCAAGTCTCTATATTTTAAGAAAAGTTCAAATCATTGACCTTTGCACCATGTAAAGGCTAATAAAGGACCAGAGGAAGGCCTGGAGAAATATCAATGCAGGACAAGGACTTCAATCTATAACTTTTAACGACAAAAAAATTTTTCATTCCTCCATTTTCAAATTTTGACTTTTGTCCAAGAAATTCGGACTTTTTGTACCACTGTGGAGCTCCATGATATCTGACAATTTGCAGCTGGGACTTTTAGGTTTCTGGATTATCATCTTATAATAGGCTTGCTTTTTTCACATGTATGCAGAGCTTTTCTTCAGTTCAAGCAAATTGATCTGCCACTCTTCTTCATTTGAGATGAACCAGTAGGTACTTCTAAATCAACCTGTTAACAATACATTTCTTTCAATCCTTGCTGCAAAATTCTAGCACAATTCTGGCCCAGCCCCTCCTTTGTCAAAATAATGGCCTCAATCACTTCTTCACCATCTGAGGTAAATACAGATTTCCAACAGGCACAAACAAATTTCTATTCAATATTTTTCACCATATCAAATAAAATTTCAGTTATTTTTATAAAATCACTTGGACAGAAAAGTGGTTGGAAAAATGGTCAAGAATATCAAAACATCTAGAGAATAAACACAAGAATTTATAAAAATAATTTTTTGCTACCTCCTGTCTTACAAAAATAAAAGAATTTCAAAGAGCAGCTCATTTTTTATGCTTTGCAGGGTATATGAAACTATAAAAAGACCAAAGTAGCATGTTACTTCATTTCTTATTACTTTTCTCACATTTACTGCTAAGTCATTCTCATCAATTCATTCAACTTCAGCAGCAATTACTGATGTAGTTCATGATTCCAGGGACACACAAAACTACTTATATATGAAAAATTGCAACGTAAGAGCCAAAACTCATGAGAAAAAAATTTCACAAGCATCATGGAAAATTATACAGCTTTCAGCATTTTTCAAATAAATTTACTTTGGCTTACTGAATGGGACTCTCAAGTGTTGCATCACAAATTCATTGAGAACATCATCAGCTATCAAAAAAATGATTGGAAAGATTGTCCTATTATCCCATACTGTTCAGTATTTCAAAGGCTTTCTCAGTTCTCAAAATAAAAAATTAGCATATTAGTACTGAAGATATCTCCTCAAAGTTCCAAGAACTTAATGGAGCATTTAATGAATTCAAGTTTCTAACCATAATGAATACAGGTCAATAAGGAATAATGAGAATGTTACTCAACCAGTGCAAGTAGCTAATTCTGTGGAAACTCATCAACTTGAATCCTGATTGAAGTTTAAATTCTGCGTACCTCAGAGTTCAATGCTTGGTCCCAGTAGAATCCCAAAGGACACCAAGTTACATATTCCTTTTATTTTGAATTCAGTCATCTCAGATTTCTGGATATCTCGAAACAACATTTTCATCCCTGATTATGATTCCTCATGGTTCACTTGAAGTTAACTTGAATTTTGGGTGTGAAGGAAGAAAAAATTATTTCTGTGGGACTTATTAATTTTTTAATAGGGTGAATGGGATGTGTCAGTAACTGAGCCAGTCACATCATTGCTGACATCGAAGATCATTCATGAGAGCAGGAATGAGAGTAATGAAGAACAAAATGTGACACAATGCTCAATTGTCACCTTCAAGCAATGTCAACGAAGCACTGTCGGTTATGAGAAAATTATTTCTCTCACAAGGGGAAGTGCCAGTTGACTCGTTTGAGGCAATTGGCTAATTGGAAGACTTTCACTTCTCTGTTGCTAATTCCTTCAAAAAACAGATGAAGATTACTGATTTCAATCAACTAAGGCTAAAACTGCAAGAGTACTTGATGAAAGGTGTTGCAATAAATGAATTTTGCATATAAAATATTACATTTTCTGTAAAGATGAATAAAAATGCCACCTGATTATATACCTTAACCTGTGGTTTTTTTTTTTAGGGGGAGGCAATTCCTAATAAATTGAACTTCAGATAACTTGAAACAAATTGCCTGGTCCCTTAACCCTTAGAGGAGTGAGTTTTCTTAACCCTTTCAGGAGTATGAACATACCAGTACAATCATACTCCTGAAAGGGTTAAAGTTCAAGTTAACAAGTTTCCACTGTACTGTTTGAATAAATAACAGTACTTTTCTAATCACCAATGAGGATGAGGACCAGCACTAATAGTCAAATGCTATTGAGGGTCCACAGTTAAAGGGCTTCTTAGACCTGCTTTCATCACGAACTTCCCTCTTTCCTCTGTTCCTAGGTCATGGGAACACTTGAAAAATCCAAGCATTCATGCTCACATTATTGCTCATGTCATGGAAAGATGGATAAACTTTTCCAATCCAAATTACCAGTTTTACAAAGCCTTATACCAATTATTGCTACCAGTTACTAGAACTAATATAATGTAGATCTGGAACACCCAGTACAGCCAATTATGGACATTTTAAAATATCCTAAGCAGAGTTGAAGCCTTTCAACAAACAAAAAAAGTAATTCCTGACTCTCAGGGAGCAATATAGGATTACATCATATATAATGGAAAAACAGGATTTAGCAACATACCCATTGGCAGTGGACCATGCACTGAACTTGGGGGAGACATTACTGGTGGTGTCTGGATGGAGGTAGGTGGAGAAACAACTGGGGGTGACATAAGAGTTCCAAGCTTCAATCCAGGTGGGAGAAACTTGGGAAGCTCCATTCCTTTGAGTTTATTGGTGATCAGTTTGCAAGCAATGCTGAATTCCATAATATCCATCTTCCCATCTCCATTCACGTCTGCCAAAGCCCTGAAGCATACAGAAAATTGTTGCCACGAGGAGCATAACAATTTAAACACAGAAAAAGCAATCCTCCCATTATATATTTAACTCAGCGTTACCAAATCTGAGCTAAGACTGCAGGAGGAAGCTGAGACTGCAGAAGGAACCCTTTTGCCTGAGCCCCAGTGATCATCCCTCCGACAGGATTGAGAGCTTTGAAGTGATTTTCGTGGCGCTGCTGTTCAGCGGGTGTTATTGCCCAAGGATCCATGTTCCCTCCGAAAAGGGCACACCTCAATAGCACATATGAATAGGTACTCAAGCAGGCCTGGAAACCAATAAGCACTTCATGGCATTCCGGCCAGTAATTCTAACCAGGCCTAGGCCCCAGATAGCCTACATTCCGCTCACTTCTCACGAGCTGCAGCCATGCACGGTTGCCACGATTATATCGATTTTCCCGTTTACCGGCACAGATCCGATCTTATAATTTGCCTTGAGTATGCATCAAGAGAGACATAAGTGTTTTAAATAACGAGTGACAAGTTTTTTTATATTCAGATAGTACATGATCCTTTCACGCAAGGGTTATCCAATAAGTATAGTTTCTTATTCGCTCATACACTGATGAATATGACTGGGATGGACTGAACACATGAATTAATATATATCAGCCTTAAACAGAGGCCAATTGAAGAACACTCCTGGAGGAAATAGCGTTGCTTGTCCCAACTCATTCTCACTCATGTTTCGGATCAGGGCCGTAAATACCCCATGAGCTCCCCGGGGCAGGGAGTCATGGACGCCCCCCCCCCTCCCCTCCCCTTCCCTGGCATTTTCCCTGACTTGTACCTGCCAGTCCTCCAAGAACTAGTACCTGCGTATCCACGTCTAAGTTTACACGCCCTCCCTTTAAGTGAATGGCAAAGCCAAGTTGGCTTTTTTAAAATTCAGTATACGGAATAGTCAAGAGCTCTTGAGTTTCCCAAGAGTATTCATTGACGCGCTCGCGAGTCGCCCTTCTTTAATTAGGGTTCAGGAAAAAGCTACCTGGAAAAAAGACCCCCAGATTTGACAAAAGCTGAAAAAAGCCACCCGAGATGAAAATGCATAAAAGCCACCCGTGTGATTGCTACGTAATTATTCATTTCTAGATATTTATACATATCAGATAATTAAAGACATTCATTTGGCGATGTTGAGACACATTCACGTAGGGATGTGGCTCATAATTATCCATGTTTTAATATTTTAGGGTGAATCTCCATCAATTATTCAAGTAAAATATCATTGATTTTTCGTTTCCATTTAGAATAAAACAATGGAAGATGCAAAGCATCGCTCGATTGGAAGCACTTCTTTATATATATATAAATTTTATTTTCCTACTTTCATTATGAAGGGAAGAAGGATTCTGTTCAGCTATGAACATTGACTCATCTCAATGCAATGCTTAAACAGACTTCGGGGAGGAGGGGATTGAGGAGGGGAGCTAATCCTGATCCTCTCCTAGATGTGAAAGTGGATAGGAGGGAGATAAATATATATTTTAAAAATCCTTACATAATCCCAGAGCAATTGTTATTTGAGAACAAATTCCAAGAAACGTTCAGAGAGTGGAATCACCTCATCTTGCAACACAGCCACAAGCAAAAGATTTCCTGCGGAGGGTTGGCCATACTGTTCATTTTTAAGGAATGGACTGGAGTTGGACTTGTATTAGCGAATATACGAAAAAACGCCCACTGAAGAAATGCCCACGGAAATAATGCCCACAGAAAAAACGCCCACAAGAAAAAATGCCCACGGAATAAACGCCCATATCTGCAAAGTACGAAAAAATGCCCACTTTATTTTTTTCTGGTTTTTATTTTTTTTTATTTTGCAAAAAAGCATCTCATTTATGGCATTGCGAAATAGAACTAATTAAAATATACAGGAAATGTAGGCGACACTGGAAGCGCTTTTGCAAAGTGGAACAATAACATCTTAATTATTCTTGTAACGAATAGCATGTCCCACTCCGCGAAGAAACTCCTCAGTTGTTTTCTGCTTCTGACTGTAGGCCAGGCACAGATTATGTAGTCGTTTCTGATAGTCTTGTGTTGCCCTTTTCACCTTCTTCTTGGGAGGATTTCCAGTTGCGTTCTGCAGGATAGAAGTTGCAACAGTAGCATTGTCGGCTTGGAAGGCAGCGATAGATCTCCATATAGTAGGGTGTTTGTGGCCAACTATGTGAAGATGTTTATGATTCCATCCCTCGGCTTGGTTATTGGTTCGGTCGGCTGCAGACAAAGTTGCTTCGTAGACGTTCCAGACATATGGGGGAAACTTTGCTGGGATGCGGCGAAACCGAGCCACAGTACCACTCGCATTGAGTCGTCGGTAGTTTCCTGTGACGTATGTCTCGTCGAAGTAGTCGACCAAGCTCTCTGCATCTGGTGGCGTGATGGTGCGAAGAAATTGCATCCCTCGTTCCACGTCTGCAACTGGCAGGAACGCCAAACCGTCCAACATGCCACAGAAGTGCTTGAATTCATCGTCCTGGCGGTAACGGTCAACGAGGCCCAGCTCTTGAACCTTCTTCCAAGTATTCTGTGTCAGGTGAAAGAAGCACCCCTGTGTAGTCACATGGTCACCAAAGCATTCCCTAACAGCTTGCATGGCTGCCGCCTCGAAGTCTGTGATGACGACCGATGGATCCACTGGCGAACCAATCTTCTCGCACTTGCTTGCAATGGCTTGAAGTAGCTCAGCATAAACTTCTTTTGTCTTCCTCTGAAGAAAAGCGTAGACACAAGATACAGTGACGTCAGCCAAGGGAACTCGAACCACGTACACCTGCGTGAAGTCGCGGGGTGCCATGGAAAAGGTGCCATCCATGAACCACTTGTTGCTGTTCGCCAAAAGTTGCAGGCACTGATTTGACCCAAAGGCAATGATCCGTGAGTCAGCGTCTGGACCATTGTCATAATGAAGTCGCGGGGTGCCATGGAAAAGGTGCCATCCATGAACCACTTGTCGCTGTTCGCCAAAAGTTGCAGGCACTGATATGACCCAAAGGCAATGATCCGTGAGTCAGCGTCTGGACCATTGTCATAGAAAAGGAATGGTTGCGGATTTGAGCCACCCGTTGTTGCCCACATGCCTTCAATATGAAGATCCTTCAGAGATGTTGGTTCAGCCGGGAAGAAAGAGCTGCGTTGATTTTGCAGAGTTCGTTTGATGGATGCCTCTGATGGCAAAAGCGCACGAGCATCGTCATCCAAATACATCATGGCTTGCGAGACGATAACACTTGGCTTGTCACACGTCTTGGCCGCTCGCTGCTTCATGGAGACACGACATTTGTTGATCTTGATAGCTGTCGTGTCCGGAACATGGTTATGAGCTGCTCCTGGACAGGGATTGGTGCAGTCGGCGTCCGTGAACAAAATTCCCCCACAAGATAGGGAACGCAGGGCACAGCGCCACCGGATTTTGTCGTTCTTCTGGGAGTGCTTCACATACATGAAGCCTTCGAAGATAATTTTAACCGGATTTTGTCGTTCTTCTGGGAGTGCTTCACATACATGAAGCCTTCGAAGATAACTTTCCGTCCGCCTTTCTGGTTCGAGATGAACTCCATGGTTACTTGAAGTGAAATGAATAAGCTTAAGACGCCGTATTTATATATCATCCGTTTGAAGATACTTCGAACAATGGCATCATGATCTCCTCCTCATACTTCACAGGGGGTAGGAGGGGATTGTCAATCAAGAGTTGTCAGTGTCTTGTCTAAAACAATGTTCAAATATTTTTTTTCCCATGATCCTCTGTATGGAGCTTATCTTTCCGCCTTCCTCGGGATCAATACGCCCCTACCTCCAAGATAATTGTAGGCAACCGGACCTTCTCATGTCAAACGTGGCATGTCACACTTCAATCACTCCATTGCTATTGAAATCGATCCAAAGGACAGGCGAATTAGCAGCAAAATCCCACGCACCAGATCTTATCTCAAGTGACTTTTTTCTCACGTTTTCCTTAGCATTCCCGGAAAGAAAACTCCTTTCGTTGATCCAACGTTGAAGAGTTCTGGAATCTTGGGAATTTTCTTCATATTTATGTTTTATTACGTTGATAGAAGTGATATATTTAATGTATTCAATGGTTATATATCACGTTTGGAAAATTAAACTGCATTCGATTTTACAAATAAAAAAGAAGCCGCAAGAGATATTTGAAAATACGCATGTGGGCATTTTTTCGTACTTTGCAAGTATGGGCGTTTATTCCGTGGGCATTTTTTCTTTTGGGCGTTTTTACTGTGGGCATTATTTCCGTGGGCATTTTTTCAGTGGGCGTTATTTCGGGGCACCCCTGGAACACCCTCTCGAGCACGACCGACATCTGTCACCTTTCTCTTCCCTCGCCCTCATTGGACAGTGGCGAAGAGATCCTACAACCAGCGATTCGAGTGGGACGAGAAGATGCCATTTCTTCTCCATACCGGTCCAATCCTGCTCTCGACATCGAGAGGAGGTCCGCGGAGGGACTTCCCTCGTTCGGCTTCTTTCGAGTTCGTTCGCCGCAACGATTCCTCGCCATCGGATGGCGATGGTGTGGAATCGGTTGGTGGTGCGGATTCTACACCACCAACTTTCCAGCTTTCTGTGCTGCTATTGTCAGACGTCGTTGTTGGTTAGAATATGTCCAGATCTGATCAACGATCGAGGTGAAGGAAGTAAATAATTTTAGTAATAAATCTTACCTATGTCCCACGAATATATATTTCCTCCTTAGGTCAAATAAAAGTGATTGCAGTTCGAGAGGAGAGTTGTTGCTGATCTGCAGCGAAGATGGGGGCTCTTTTTCGGAGCGAGGAGATGATCCTCTGCCAGATTTTTCTCCAGACTGAAGCAGCCTACAACTGCGTGTCGGAGCTTGGGGAGCTGGGTTTGGTCCAATTTCGAGATGTAAGATTTCTCGTCTCTCTTCGACATCTTGAATAATTGAATGATGATGTTATCTGAGTCTAGGTTTGATCGGATTTAAAATTTTCGAGTTCGCATTAAGGCTGTACGGTTGGTATATATTTACATTTCAGGATAATTATGCCATCCTCGGCCTTGTCGGAGGATTTCAAGCTAAGGAATACCGCTCACTTGGACTAGAATCATTTTAGAGTGCATGCATCTCGTTTCTATGATGTAAACTCGATGAAGAAACGCGAGTGAACCCGACAGAGTGATGAGAAACTGCCCATGGCCACATTGGCTTCCCTTTCACCACCGGCTTCATGGGTTGGCCTTTGCGACAGTCTTGGGGTCATTCTTCCCCTTTGTTTACAGAGGGAGTAAACTAGAAGAATGAATTCGTTCCAGTTGTCTTGCACGTAAGGTCCAATTTCGAGTCGTAACTCTTTTGCATCAATTAGGA